GTCAGTATCGTGTGTGCACACCCTGAGCAACCCCCTCTCCTGCCCATGGAAGGGATGAGAGTACTAATCTTACCTTGGGGAATGGTTGCCCACTCGGCCTGTAGTGCTACCGTTGTGAGCCGTGCTGTGTGTGCACAGGCCCCTGAAGCAGGATTGTGATACAACTGAAACACTGGACCCATATATAGCAACCACCATCGCCGCTAGGCGGCGCGCTCAACCTCTCTCTCGGTTCCGGGTCCATTCTGACCTCACTGACAGTGGTGTCGTTTACGCTTTCATGTGGAAAATTCCAACAGCCTTGAACTTGGCTAGTAGCAAAGTTCATACGTCATATGCATAAATTACGCGTTTATCGCCATTTTTTCCCCAGTTGTTTACTTCGGAAGAATTTACACTGCTTTGAATTACGAATCTAGACAGAAAAACAAATTGACAGCCATATACGCTACATGTAACGTATTTTTCTTGTTCCTTAGACATTATCTGACTTATTTTCAAACCATTTTCATTAATATTTTGGCGTAAATGTATTGTAAATGTTTGGTAAGCGAGTGGCCTATAGTTTCACCAAGGGAGGTAATCCTGCACACTTACTTGCTGTACAATCGCGCGGTCGTTGTTACATGTTATTTATAGAAGGGGATTTCCAGGAACACTTGCCCCGTTTGCCATAATTTTTAATGATATTATCCTCTTATTTCATTATTTTATAGTTTTAAGTACAAAGTTGAGTTGGATTTTGTTAGGAATTATTATTAAATAAAAAGTACAGAAGGTACTTGGTAAGAAATTATATAATATGGAAAACAGGGAACACTCTTCTGATAAATTATTTATAAAAATGATTAAATATTTTACATTATTGTGAGATACTCAGAAGGTACAACTTAAATAATGTGATTTCCTTTTTGAAAACCATTGATTTAGGTACGTTACTACTTTGTCTAATTTATTATATTTTGTTATTTCAGGTGGAAAACAGACTTCAGACAAAATACAGCAAGTTCGTGTTAGTGGTATCATGGTGATAAATTTTTTACTGTGTCAGAATTTTTTAGTGTTTAACAATTTTTTAGTGTAAGAGAAATTTTAGTTGCTGTGTCAACATTTATATGAGATGTCATGATTACATATTGGATATGAGGATGAATACCATTCAGAATAAGGACATTTAATTTTTATTTTAATTTTTGTTACTCTGGCAGAGTGAGGAGCAAGTAGATGAAGGGCTGACAAGATTGTCAGAAAGAAAACAGCTAAAGGCCATAGAATCGCAGCTCAATTTCAGGAAACAAGTACTAAAACAGAAATACAAAGATGCCAAGATCTTCTCCTTTTCCATGAAGAATGAAGCTGGGAAGTACATCAAACATTCTCTTGCAGACTTGCGGTCAAATCTCCTGGTTTTGATAAAGGCAACCATGACCATGGTTACAACAGAGCAGCATCAGGAAGGCATTCCTCTCTTTGTTGGAAAGCATATTTAGCACACTTTCCATGATGGTGTATACCAAGGGTATGTGATTTCTGTAGTTCCAGGCTTTCCCAAATGGTACAATGTCAAGTATGAAAATGATCCAGCAGTTTATGCATACAACTTGTGTGAAGACTTTGAGAGAGAGGAGATCAAAATATTCGTGAAACCTCACAATCAAAGTCAGGATGGGGGAGATTGATTGTGCTTTGAACAATTTGACATTGGCTCTACATATGTACATGGAAATTTAGTTTTTATTACAGCTGATATAGTTTGCGGTAGAGTTAATTCCAAATGTTCATCTTCAGTTGAATTTTGAATGGTCTATCAAATTTGTTTTGAGTTTATTCCCCGATCAGTTTTGTTTTCAGTTGAGGTTTCTCTTCATTGTTTTAGCTAACCCTCTAAAAACATTTTATTCTGTTTGTTTGACACTAACTAAAATAAGGCATGAATTCCAGCCAATTCACGGAAGTATACAAAAATCTCCGCACTCAGGGCCTCGAACGCTCTGATTGGTATCCCCATGTGCGTTTGTTACAGTTGGAGCGCGGACCACACACACTCGACGCCATTGAGCGCGGAGATTATTTGTTTACTTTCGTGACCCACAGCCGCGACTGAAACAGGATTTCGATATAATCACTCGATATGGGTGATAAATTGCCAAAAATGAAGGTTTGTGGCATGCAGGTCGTATTTGGAGGGAGGTGGGGAGGTATCGTGAACATGACATGCATATATTTCCATTTAATTTAAACGATACAGCCGATTTCAACTTCGGCCAAGATGGCGAGTCACGTACCTTGTCTATTTATATATACTGAACAACAAAAGTTCCTGTGACATTGAATAAGATTTAATGCAAAGTTACTTTTTTACCAAATCTGAAACAATTTCGGTTTGCAACAGATAAAAGACTCCTGTAAGTGTTCAAATGGAGTAATTTGCCATACTGACTTCATGATCAGAAAATGCGTGATTTCATAAAAAAGCATGAACATGCCAAAATGTCAATTTACAAATCAATAGCGCGTGTGTCCACCTCTGGTTGCGATGCAAGCAACACATCTTCCTCTCATGGAATGGACCAGGCGTCCCACAAAGTCCTGTGGGATATCTGTCCATATCTGCTGGAGCATGTTTCGAAGTCCCTGGAGTGTCTGTGGAACACTTGGTTGACGTCGAAGGCGCCGATCCATCTCATCCCACATGTGCTCGATTGGTGAGAGATCAGGGTAGCGAGCCGGCCAGGGGATGACATTCACGTGTGTTTTTTTAAGAGAATCCTGTACCACTCGAGCCATACGAGGCCGGGCTTTGTCATGTTGAAAGGTTATGCCTTGGCCACGACGACGCAAAAGCGGTAGAACAACAGGGCCGATGATCTCGTCGCGGTAGCGCTGTCCATTGAAATTTCCCTCTACCACTATCAAACGGGTCCTCTGTCTTGCTGTAATCCCACCCCATACCATAACGCTGCCGCCCCCGAACCGATCTTCTTCCATGACATAATGATTGACGTAACGTTCACCTCGACGTCGGTACACTTGAATCCGTCCATCGCTGTGGCTGAGGTGAAAACGAGACTCGTCAGTGAATAGAACTTATCCCCACTGCATTGCCGTCCAGCGTAGACGCTGTTTGCACCACTGTAGACGTGCTTGACGGTGGTTTCCTGTCAAAATGGGACTTCTGGTAGGTCTTCTGGCGACAGTCCCTGCACATATGAGGCCAGGGATGCTTCTTGCAGTCACTGTTGCTGGCTGGAATCGATTTCGTACGTGTGTTGTTCGAATCCAGGTGTCTTGTCGATTATTGGTTACGCGTGGCCTGCCACTCCGAGGATGGTCTCTGACTGCATTCGTCTGTTGCCAACATTGCCATAAACACCAAATGGTGTTTCTGTGGACGTTAAATTGTCTTGCAACATCACTTTGACTCGATCCTGCTTCAAGCATACCAATGGCTCGCAGACGCTCATTTTCGGACAGGCGTGGCATTTCGTAATGTTGAATAATTGCGTTATTTTGTTGTTTGCCTGCGTGGTTGTTGTCACGATGCTAAACAATGCATATGGAATCCCGTTAACGCACATGTTTTTATACCCATTCTTGGGTAGTGAAATGCAATGGGCGTGCATAAAAGTCAACTTTTGCATGGAATGCATGCTTTTCTGTAGCAGTTGGGTTTAGTTGGAGACAGGCAATTGAATTGGATCTGGACGTCAGGCTCTGCGACTTGGCTGATTGCAGGTCATCATGAGTGATTGTGAGGATTGTTGTTTGGGTTGTCCTGTCCATAATAACAAAACCACAAGATAAATCTGGGGCTTTTTGCACAAAGCAATGTGATCGGTATTCCTGTTAAAACACTCGTGAAAAAAAGATGGTGGACCAAACCTCGTTTTTAACACGCTTCTCAAATACCCCAGATCCAATTCAGTTGCCTGTCTGCAACAGGAATGGGATGCCTGGGTCCTATTCTGAACGAGGCTAATTATTAAGTTTTCAAAGAATGATGCTTTCACTCTGACAAGTAAACCCCCGTCTGTTGTCTTACGCCGCACTCAGAAATATTCCAGCTATATGACGGCGGTCTGTAAATAATCGAGTCTGGACAAGACAATCTAGTGATTGACATCATGAGCATCGATCCACGCAATTAGGACCGATGACATGCATCAACCAAGTCAGCGAGCCTGACAACCCGATCCCGTTAGTCGCCTTTTACGCAAGCATGGGTTGCTGAAGACTATGCTATTATACCCCGGATCTTCACGGGTCTGTCATTCGTGGTTTCCATACAACAAATCAGATTCAAATTTGAACAAATGGTGGGAGCAAGCATGTCCTTTGGTTTCTGATGGGCCGATATGTACAGAATATAGAGCGCATCGTCACAGTATTATATTGAGGATCATGGTTTGCATGTCAATGTAGGCTGCCAGCATGGGACGTTGTATATAATATCAATCACTGGTTTTCCTGGTCAAGACCCGATTGTACAGCTGAAATGTTACTGCCAGTGGTGTAAACCAACAAACAATGGTGTCACCAATCGAGAGAACAAAAGTCAGTGTGGACAACTGACAGTAACTGAAACACTGTATTTCTCGACCTTTGAGGCCATCAAATTGCATGCGGCTATTAAGGAAGGCAGATCATCCTAATTGTGTCACGAAGGCTGTACACAGACAGTGGATGCATAATACAAATCCAACTTCTATTCTTGTGGCGCATGGTTGGAAAATGCCATTTGCACTTGGGTTTTTTCAAAGTAGTATGTGAAATTGTGTATTCTATTGTGAATTTGACGTAATGTTTTAGATTGGGTGGTAATACCTTGTTTTGATTCTTCACGTGTGAACATGTGAAGCCCATTTTTGGTCTCTCCTGTCCTAACAGAATATATTGCTAGAAACGACACAGAATTCATTCATTCACAGTATGGATGTTCTTTGTGCTGTCCTAATGGAAAATCCACACGAATGAGAACACAGTTTTGAGGAATTTTTTTAAATTTTTACTCCAGATTGAAAACAATCATCGAAGAACATTATGTGATGTTAACGATAACTAAAGCGTTTTATAAGAATATTTTATGTTATAATAGATAGATATGCAATAATAAGAGAGAAAGAGAGAGATAGATGATCTATCTAAAATGTGGAAGCAAGATTATCCTTATTTGCTACTTTTGATGATGTCCGCCGCCTTTTCTCCAATCATGATGCTCGGGGCGTTTGTGTTCCCTGACACGAGGGACGGCATGATGGAGGCGTCCGCGACTCGCAGTCCAGCAATACCCTTCACTCTGCAAAATATTAAATTGAAACCGACATTCAGATTAAACAGACGACATCGAGTCAGCTTTCAGCAACTACTTTGTTTTTCGTCCTCCAACATACACTTTTCTCCAATAATGAGACAGTCAGTTAGTGCATGTTCGACCAACGTCGGACAACATTGGGGACATCACATACCCACATAAACCTACAGGTAAACGTTTGAAAGACGGATAATAAACTAACTTCTGGTTGTCCCGTCACAGCTCGGTTTATATATGTATCAGGATGCTCTGATACGTTTGTTATTTTCTAAATACATTTACAAACTAATAGACTTTGAATACCAACATTACACGAAGGCATGTTTACACGCGTCTATCAGTCAAGCACGGAACGACCCCAAAAGCATTAAAAGAATTAGCTGAATGTCCATGAAAGTTGCTGATCTCTGATGTGATCAGAGCTACAAAAATTCAAGGTGATATTCATGTAGTTGACCTGTAGACAAACAAATCCTGGTGATCATTTTAGATTGGTGAAAACACAATGTAACATGATTGTATTTGTACAAACGCCATAGAATAGTTGAAGTTTTCCAAATTCACCCACCTCAGTTGAGGATCCACCACTGTAGTTGGGTCGCTTGGTTTCCCCATCTTGCACGTGGTGGTCGGATGGTAGACTGTTGTAGCCAGTGCCCGGACGTAACACTCCCAGTATTCATCAGTGTCATACTTCATAGTGGTGCATGTCGGGAAGGGTGTGTCTTCAAGCTGGGCTCCTATTTCCTTGAATGCCTTTGTCTGATGAAGTTTCTGGACAATGCGAACACCTGTTGAACAAAAATGTCTTTTAAATTCATTTGATATATTTGATATTCCAAGGTATATTTTTTAGCAAAGCGTTATTAATTCAGCTTGACTATCTGTAGTTCAAAAATTGTTTGAACTGATGTATCAATGGTATTCATACACGTAGAAAAGTGCCAATTTCACTTGACGTGAATTCTAATTCTACTCCCGGTGTTAACTTTGTTCTGGCTGTGAGACATCTGCAATCTACTTATGGATGGACAAATATACATGATCCCTTATAGATGATATTGCATCATCTGAACTAGATCCATAGCAAAAGATGCTGCGTTGCCTGCAGTATGTTCTTGTTAAAAAAAGATACTTCACCTGGTAAAGTTGTCCCCATTAAAAGTAGTTGGTTTACTCGAATTATGATCCTGTTAAAAGTGATCGGTTTACCCGCAATACGACTTTGTTAAAAGTAGTTGCTTTGCCCTTGAAGGCCCTGATAACTGGAATTATTTTCACCTCTAACTAAAGTCTTGGCGTCATCGGGATGAGACAGGTAGTTGGGCTCGATGATAGGAGGCTCAAATGGGTTGGTGCTTCTCAGGCGGATTGTCCCCATGCTCTTTGGACGGAGTAAAGTTGGCAATGTTGTGAAACCTTCTTCAACAGACGTCCAGTTGAAATGAGCAACTATCTAAATAAGAAGTAGATGATCGTTACATAAGGTAAGGGACGTTTCAAAACAAGAGCGTTTATGTCGTGTCAGTGTGCTTGTGTACTCCGTCCATACGATCTTCCCTGAAACCACAAGGCTTATTCATTGATGACCACAGCTACGGTGCTCTTACAGTGCCCACAGAATTAATTATAAAAGATATGTAAAGCTTGTCACATGGCAGTTGTGTTAACAATGCCATTATTGCCCATTGCTCAGCCATAAATGCATGTATCATTATAGTATTGGATAAGCAGACAGTATGTGGTACGTCAAATAACGTCATATATTGTTGGTTGTGGTTATATTTGACACATATACAACCCATGACCTTTATGTTCCAATTACATTTATTCACTCAATCGAGGCACGGTGACACTCAATCAACACAGTCTTTATAACTGTGCCCGATTTGGTCGGCGTTTATACCGAAGACTGGACCCATGGATACTGGGAACATATTGTGATTCCTGTGGAAATGAAGCACTCTCACCTTTTGGTCAATGTTAAACAGACGGGCCAGACTTTTGTCCATTGAAGCACAGATAAAGTGAAACTGAACGTCTGGACTTGGTTCCTCGGATTTCGTCTTCACAAACGCCATGGCTTCCAGACCGCCGCTTGATGTTAAAAGACCTACAGTGAAAGGCAAGTTATAAGCTGTTAGTGGCTGAGCAAGTACCTACTAAGGAAGGTGTGATTTTGGAACCGTCAAGGAAAGATGTTTGCTGGACAGTAAGCAATATTATAACTTCACAATGGCGGCCTTCAAAATGTATCCTTCGATCATGTTTTGGACGTCACACGTTTGTAGACGACCATGTTTATCTTGAGTTATAAAGAGGTTGCAACTCGAAACACTTCCAGGCTGAAGAAACTACCTCGTCCGATTCTTCCAAATGAGAGTACTTTCATAGAATATGATTACCTCACATACCTCAAATATTTATTTCAGCATTAAAAGAGTCTGCTCATTTAAATCAGTGACGATTTGGCGCATTATGGTCTTCGTATTTACTTTTCAGTCGAATTCTTAATGGAAATCTTTTGGGCCACTCTTTTTAACAGATATGTTTTCATTTTTTAAAGAGATTTAATAATGTAACTTTTTTTCTCTTCCTTTAAAACATGGAAAGGGTTGCAATGGGAATTACACTTCTGAACGTAAAAGTAAAGCAATGCAGCTTTTAACTTTATCTCATTGAATCAAGGAGTATCTTGACATTAAATGCTTCAAAGTCTGGACCTTCACCATTTCTATCTTATGAGGAGAATAGCAGTCTGGTGAACCAGAAAGACTGCATACCTGGAACGTCTGGGACTGTAATTGGTTCAGGATGCTCCAATAGTATTAATCTTCAAAGGTATATTACGATTTGTGCCAAGCATGACCTGATTGACTTCTCAAATATAGAAATACCCATTCCTCTTTTCACTGGATTCTAAAATCCGACCAAAGGGTCCAGCAAATGTACCACCATAGCCCCATGTCAAAGATTAACCATAATCCTTAAAACAAACAAGGAAGGAATTTCGTTATATTCTCAGAAATATTCGATATAAGTGGAATTAATATCAAATCAATTCTCAAAGATTCAAAGGATTTTGCATTTGACTTTTAGCAAGTGCAGCAAAAAATCACTGAGTTCAATTATGTCAAAACATTTGATTTTCCAACAGTTTGTCACGAATGAAAATAAATTTCGTATGAGGTGAGGTGAATTGGGTTTAAGAATATACGTTCAAGATTATTGTACTTAAATAGCAGATGATCAACTTTCCCTTGATGTCGAGCAATATCCGAGTAGGTCTAGCCTTTGGTGTCTACATTTTAGGATATTGTGGGCGAATTTCTGAAATTACTGCGAAGATCTTATGACTCCGGAAGACGTTTCCTCGCTTTTACTTATGATGGATATATTGTCCACCTCACAGTTTCTTTCATAAGACAGGCCAAAGAGTTATTGCGAGGCATACAGAATTCGTAAATAATGGGTAGAAGTGTTTTTGTTTGATAAAAGTGTTTGACTACATACAGTCTAAACTGAACATGAAAATACACACTAAAATTCGTTCATTTGGGGATACATGAGGTATATATGCTTGAATAAATCCTTGTGGGAAATATATCTTACCTGATTTCAATGCACGATATTTGATTAAAGTAAGTGTTGACTCTAATTTCTGTTTCGTGAGGGAAATAGGCTTCTGAATTTTCGACACCATGGTGAGGAACATGTGATCCTGTAAGCTTTCACCAACTGGGAGGCTAGCTTGAACTGGAATCTGTATATTGAAATACAAGTGACAAAAGCATTTCAATAATTGTCCACTGTGTGATTCCGACCAATTCCTAAGCATGTGTTCATAAGAACATCATAGAGTGGTGACACTATAGGTTCGCGGAAACGTGGCACCTATCACAAACCCGTCAGAAACACATGCAAAGAAAAGACAATAAGTAATAGCCTTAGGCACACCTGTACTAACAATGGATGGAAGTTACTGGTTCTCTTGCATTAGAGATCAGAAAGTGAGACTTGTTGAACACAGAGGATGATGAAAGCTGATCGTATTTGTGTATTTGAGTTGTCGGTAAATCGGTAAGTCGCTTCAACATAGGTTGCTGGGGATCTATTCTTACCCGGAATCCTCATGGGGAAATGAAGAAGAAATATAAGTTATGTTTTCATTCTAAAACTCACTTGGGACTTTAGTAATCTGACTGTGTATTTTGTTTCCGTTCATTAAGGTATGAATCGAAAAACCGAAGTGCAAACTGTATGAATCTGCGTAAATTTGACAACGGAAACATCTACAATAGTTTAACGAAAAACAGGTGTATATATCAAAGCAGACAAAAATGACGACATTGATAAACATTCCAAGTGTAGGAATACATAGTGTGACGTGACATGAATCAGGTGATTGTTTATTTTATGCACATAACTTGACACGCTTACAAAGTAAAGTAGGAACAAAACAATGTTCATAGGACCTGTCAATCAAGGCAAGAGGCGAGAAGAATCCCCACGGGGACAATGAAAAAGAAATATAAGTTGTATGTTCGTTCTATAACGTAATAGTAGTAATCTACAACATGAAAAGTAGTAATCTACGATGTGAATTGACAATTGGTACTTTTAGAACAGAAGGCGAAGGCATGTCTCTCTATAAGAAGTAATTAAAGAACTTATATGAATCTTATTCACGCTCCAGGTACAAATTAAAGCAAAATCTCACTCTAAACAAATAAATTGTTATTTATTCTGACACAACTCAGTCGCATGAGTTGGTTTAAGAGCATAAAGTAGCTGTCCAATCAATTTACACTCATACGTTAATGACAGAGGGCAGGAGATGGCAACATCGCTTGCGAAACATGTGGTGAATGGGTCCAGGGTATTTATCATTACAAAATGGAGGTATACTATACTAGATGATGTGCTGATTGCGGCATTAGACGTAAATTACTGAAACACACATCAATCTACAATAGTATGCAAGGTTCTAACGCTCATCATGTGTAACAAAACTGTCCAGTAAATTAACGTCGTCATTCCTTATACATCTTTTCTTGACCAAGTCTCTTCTGGCAGTATACGCTCACCTTTTCACGAACACCTGGTATCATCGCTGTTTGAGAGCGATTCATAAACACATGCTCAGGAAAAAGTAGGAATCGTATAGTCGACTCTCCTTTTAACAGATATGCCTTATGATTATAGAAAGGGTCTTGTGGATTATATTTGAAAAATGGTTAACCAAAATGTTATGAGCCATATTCTTAGTGTCACCTGAAGCGACCTTTGACCATACACAGAGGTTACTCTAAAACTAATGTGATTAAGGCACTACAAAAGAATGTCTGTGAAGTTTCGTCATATTCAAATCATAGAAAGGTTGCAGTGGCCTTGATATCACCTACTGCTGTGTCTGAAAATGTTCCCAGGGATAAATGTAACATCTGTAGTAAGCGTGCAGCGTCTGTGGTGTCAATGTGGGCAAACTCTTTTCGATCTCCGTTTGTGTGGGCGTCTTCCAAAATATGCTGACACACCATGATGTTACCGAAATATTGTTCAAAGCAGAGTTATTCCAAACACATTCACTCAATAAAAGCAACTATAACACACGGACGGTGATTGCATGATTAGGACAGTGTTTACTGTGACATTATACTGGATGAAAACTAATAAGCTTACATCTGTGATGTTTCTGGAGAGTACAAAAATCCGATCTACTAATTTAAATTGTAACATAAATTGCATGAAGAGATCGATGCTTATTTCTCACCTTCATCTCCTCCAGGTGTTTCTTTGGCCCGATCCCTGACAGCAACAGCAGCTGTGTCGATCCAATTGCACCAGCTGACAAGATTACCTCCCTTGAAGCACGAACTCTGTACAGACGGCCATCTTTGACATACTCGACACCAACCGCCGTCTTCTTGTTTATCGTTACCTGGTGAAAACAATTGGCCAATTTCAGTACTGAATAAATGTGTGATGTATGTATCAATCAATCAATCTTTATTGTATGAAAGGCCATTGGCCAATATTAGTACTGAATAAATGTGTGATGTATGTATCAATCAATCAATCTTTATTGTATGAAAGGTCATTGGCCCATATACACATACAGATAAACAATATCATTTACAGCTGTACAGCGCATTATATAATTATTGGATAACTAATATGATGCTTGACATGTATTACACTACTGCCTAAAAGTTCATTCCCCTAACACGCGTTGAGAACGCGTGTAACACGCATGTGACACGGGTGCTCAACGGGTTGCACACGCGATTCACACCCGTTGCACACCCGTGTCCAACGGGTGTGAATCGCGTGTGCAACCCGTTGCACACGCGTGTGCCACGCGTGTAACACGGGACCGGGTTCCAGTTGAAGTTGACAAATTTATCAAATGAATAGTGAAATAAAACAAAACAGTGAGATGTGAAATTTGAGTTAATGAGCGGCCATTGAGCTGTGTTCACCAGACCGTAAATACAAGGTCGGCCCATCTTAATTAGTGTTCGGTTGCTAGACTTTTATGGCATGAACCATTCCACTAGGGTCCAGTCTAGCCATTGTGGCTAGCCGACAGTAGAACAGTAGTGAATTTAGATGCGAGTTTATTGCTAAGAAACCCCCGTGTTGACACGATTGTCGCGGGTTGGTAAATGTTCGCCATTAATAAAATAATTGTTTGTGGATTGCGAACATATTCATTTGCCCACACGAGTCATTCCATTTGATTGCAAATATAACGTTTTTCGTTCGCCAAATTTATGCTTTAGACAGTTCAATTATGACATAGCCGTCACCACTACTAATGTCTTATTATTTCACGTAGGAATATGTCCCATTTCCCCACACCCAACTTTCTGTGTTGTATTTTGAAAAATAAATAAAAGAAGGTTTTGTGTGGGACACTTTTATACTAATTATAAGAGGATGTTGTAAATGAATATGAACAGCCATGCTGTCTGACAGTTGATAAAATTTGAGATCTTCACAATCACCGGGTGTGACCATGTAGACAGAATCTCGTTAGGGTTTGTGATTTTTACATTTGCCCAATTACCATAGTGAGTATTGCTGGGGATACCAAACGTAACAGTTTATTATTAGAGGTTGTGAGTACCTATACCACGTAGATAGGATATCTTTAGGATTTTAATCCTTCTTTGAGAGGCATTTAGAAGTTGGAGTACTACGTTAGGATAAGATTTATGGGTGACTTTAATCCTTTCTTTCTCTGTGGGTAATCCTTTCACGTTCATTTGAGGAAGTCACTCAACCAGGTCATGACAGGTCGTGAGTTTACTTACTAACTACTGTGAGCGTTTTTGGCATGACATCTTTTCTTGTATAAACATAGAAACGATGCTCACTCACTCACTGTTAATCTTCTGCAGTTTGCTGGCAAAGTGGGGATAAACCTCAGTGTCAAAGACGATCAAGCTTAGTTCGAATCCTTGTTTATATGTGACATCTCCCAAATGGGGACATTTTCATAAACTTGGCAAGTGATGATGAATTTTAATATTAATATTATTATAGTTTATGAAATTGTTAATAAAACTTTAATAAAATTGTGCTTCACTCTCACGAAAAATATATTGCCTGTGAGTAAATTTATTTGTCACGTTACATCGGCATTTTTCAGTGATATTGGGACTACATGAAACATGGCTGGTTTTACATTTCTGATACAGGTGCTTGACTGACTGAGTAGTTCATGATCAATAAGATATGTTTAAATCAGTCAAGTTTGCAACAATAGATGAATAAGTTGATACATTTGGACCGCAGTTACCGATTAACAACTTAAGACATAGAGACAGGGAGGAGATATATAACCAAACCTATGATCCTGTTGAGACAGTTGACAGTTAGAACGTTGGATTAAACGACAGTAACTAATTTGAACATTCCCCAGTTATATCATAAAATACATCATAACCCATAACAGTCCGAGAGACAGCTTCCAGACATATACTAGTATTGAAGGGACAATCGCTTTTGACAGTTTAAAAATAAACTCACCTTAAGGTGCTTGGCAAATCAAAACTGACCTCCCTAAATATGTTTTTTAGGTTTGACAGCAACTATGCTTGTGGATTTCAGAGATAGACATGATTGGTTAGCTAGATGTTATTACAATAAGCGAAAATGTCTTAAAAGTCCACAGTTGGTTTAATAGTACAAAAAGTGTGTTATAGATCTATCAACGTTTTCTTTTATTGAACATAATATTTGCACTATATTGCTGTAAGCTGTAAATAATCTAGCCTCCCCATGTACGTAACTTACATATATTTATGTATGGCCAGAACAGCAAATAGAGTTCTGGTAGATAGGTACCTCGGAGATATAACGTGCGCTTTCCGACTTAAGCCTATCTCGCACACGGGGAAGCACTTGTACTATTAGGGTAAAAAAGGGTAATGATTAAATAAAGAAGTGCAATCTATTTTCTATATATATTTGTAGATATGAAGCATTCTAGTTAATTGTGGATGCACCGGGCAGACAGAATTGTGTTTATTTCCAGGCCATCCTGATCGTCGTTTACTACTATAAGGTGTATGGTTGGAGGCAAGATCAAAGGCGCCGCACAGCATTTATTAGATAACAGACGGGGTCGTCCGTTTCGCTTTGAACAACCACCCCACCTGTCTGTAGGAGTTATATAATCGGTGCGCAAATAATTGTGTCAAGTCCACTGCCGGGCTGATGCGGTGTCAGTGTCAGCGATGAACATGAATGCTCAAATTATAGACTTGTAGCACTCACAAGTTGCTTAGCCAAATTATTTGAAAAGTGTATATTCAATTCTCTGATAACAGGAAATATAACCTTAGGAAAAGATTCAACATACAAACAATCAAATGTAGAACACAGTCCTATGCTTATTATCATTTTTTCTGGATATGATCAACCTGCGGAACCCTCTATCCGATGAAGTAACTAATGCTCGCTCATTAAAAGAAATCAAATCCTTAATTAATCGTTCTGATGCAATTATTAATAATTTTGACTTCAAATATTTTCATAGATCATGCCAAATTGTCCACTGTCGCCTTAGGCTCGGCTGCAGTGACTTAAACGCTGATAAATTTAGACGACATGTATCAGACATACCAGACTGCACTTGTGGATATCACCTTGAAGATGCAATTCACTTTTTCTATAACTGTTAAAAAATACGATAATATCAGAAACACTGTGTATTTCTACACACATGGGTATGGTCTAAAAATTATATTACATGGCAGTAGTTAAGCAGTTCTACAAACATGACTCTTCTTAAATCAGTTCATGACATCATTGTCAAAAGCAAAAGGTTTGAGTAGCTTAAGTTTATGCATGTAGTAAAGGAAAACTGCATTACCTTATTTCAAAGACACCACTTGCTTGCTTTCATTTGTGCATTTTGTATGTTTATGTTCATCACTCTCTTATATATATCCAGCGGTTGTTAAGTTGTTACCTGGAGAGGTATTACATAAGCATGTTTTGCTTTTTTACCGATACAGATTTCTTTTGAAATAAAAATACGTTTAAGCCAACACAGCTAACGGTAAAACACATGATTGTAAACTATTCAAAAAGGGGCACTAATCTCTGGCTTCTTCTCGGGTGTCGGACTCAAACTCATTTATTCTTAGAATAACATGACATACAATTATCTACAATTTTTATTATGTACAATTTAATAAAAATAGGATACGTGGATACTAATACAATTTACCAATTGTATTGTACACATTGTTAAGGAATTTAGATAGGCCTTTAAGATTTCTTACACTGTTAGTGGTCATAATTTTCTTAAATGTTTGGAAACTTAAGATATTGCTTATTTAAGAGTTCATATCGCCGTTGGTGAAAAGCTTCACATCGGATGTAATGCAATTCATCTCCCACGGCGATAGAATCACAGAGTGGACACTGGTTGTCTTCCCTGGGAATGTTCAGCCATCGACCAGTTTCAACTGGTACTCCTTGGTTAGAAAGTTCTGACTTTTAGTATTGGGAGAAATATTGATTTTGAGAGCAGTAGATATTTCGCAAATGAAGGTTGATTCTTCAGGTAGCACGACCTTTGGATTTCCGCTTGGGCTTACTAGCTGCCGTGAGTCAATTTGCTCGTTAACGCAACCGAGCGTGACAAGAGACTGGGCTACCAGTCTGCAAGGACAGCTAAATAAACTTACGCATTTTTGAAAACTGATTGGTTACCCGTGATCTATGAAGATTTCAACAAAGGGCGCATGGTAATTAATTTCTTCAGCCTAAACAAACAGACAAATAACGGCGAAAGCTCATCGGATGTCGTCATTTGGAAATACCCCTGATTGTTACAGTTTGATAATAAAAAAGTATCCCTGAGTGAAAGCATTTGCGGATTTCGGATTGCGTGGATGATACAATTACTACTCCCTTGTTGTCATCCACATTTTCTGGTATAACCCTACACTTGTGTATTTGTCGTAATTCACTTGCTGCTCAGTTAATGAATTTATAACATGTATACTTAGTTGTAGCACAACTCAGATTACCCGATAAAGGTTCAAATTTGGTCTTTCTTGTACGTGGGGTAATTATTTAATCTAAATCCAGGTTTGAAGTGAGGTGGAATGTGAGTTATGCACGTCGCAGCCCAGCAAGTGATGTATGATCAGTTGCTTTACTTTTTTTGTAAATCAACTGATCATTCCCAGACATCAAAGGATCAACAGGAAATACGTTGATTGATTAATTACTGTTATCTTGCACAGTGGATACGTCAAAAGTAAGTGTTTACATGTGAAGGTAGGGTTACTAAACCTAGGGAATACTCATATCATGGCGTGAAGTACAGATGTAAAAACAACATACAGTCAAGTCTCGTTAATCCGACACTCGTTAATCCGACGCTCGGCTTTATCCGACACAAATGATGGGAACCGATTGATTCAGCGCTATTTAGTCCCGTTAATCCGACATTCTCGCACTCCGACTCCGACACACCTAATTTGCAACGAATTACTGAAATCACTCATTAATCAGTCTCGTTAATCCGACACAGTGGTCAGCGTACTCCGTGGTCATCTGCCCGCGAGTACACAACCCCGTGTTTTGACACGCACCGGCTGCAGAGATTAACTTTAACAATTAACACTAGATGCCAGGATCATAAAGAATTTCAAGCTTTATTATAAGAAACAAATGAAATTACACCTCGACAATGTTGATTCTGAAGGACCATCGAATGTACTTTGTTCAAAGGGTAACCGATAATACACTGACTAGTTGTTCATTGTTATCTAACTCAATGTATGTTTTTAAGAACCGTGGACATTATAAAAATAGTTGTCACGTGGGCTTTCTCAGCTAACTTGGCACCTATGTGAAACAATTGAAACAAAATAAGAGATCAGTTAAGAAACAAACACGGGTTATACTATTCGATACATTTAAATAACGTTTAAAAACGATATATTTAAATATTTTAATATATTTCATATATATTCCAAATATTGTTTCCAAATAATTATTATTAAAGTATTTGATTCTCACATAGACATTTTACATCGAATAAGTATTTTTGTACAGCTGCTGACGCAATGGATATTGTTCCTGTATGTTGATATTCCCGGATACATTATAACTTTGGTAGGTTGTTATAATGATATTTGCATTTTGTTTTCATTCATTCGCTGCAGCTTTGAACAGAATCATTCTTGTTCCTTTCCGTTTGGTTGGGAAGTTTTTCGATGCGCGATAGACGGTGTTTTCACAAGTATTTTCTTTTGTAAGCGTGTATATGTTACAGTCAATGTGTAAAATATGATTCACTCAGGCAATTTATTAAATATCTAAATATTTCAGTCATTTTACAAATTGACTGAATAATCCATTCATTTATTTAACCGACTGACTAAAAATGATAAAGACGACCAAGAGAGCTTAAACACATCACAATATATTAATTATGCTAAGAAAAGAAGCCAAACAATACAGAACTGTACTTGGTGATGGTATTAAACATATTTGGAATTCGTTATCATATTAATAAAGATGGACATATTTTTCAGTTAATTTGTGAAATAAACTGAATATTTAGGCGTTTTAATACATTTCCTTAGTGAAATCTGTTTACATTTTGAATGTAAACATATACACACGGTAAAATAAGCAATGTTCAGTGAAATATTTACTCTGTGTTGCAAGTCAAAATAGTGTACACGAAGATTGCACAATTACTAAGCAAGTGACTTATCAAAACTGCATCACCATTACCGATGCTCCCCACAAATATACCTACATTTCAAAAACTGTATTTCATTTTTGTTGATCAGTGTGACCATACGTCCTTCTACTTTCAATTAAAATGCGCTTACGAATGGCGAGCACAGGTCGCGAACAAGTCTAGATTTCTGCTATATCATCCGGGTACTCACTGGGAAAATACAGTAATGCACAGGTAACAACTACTCCCGCGGAATTGCTTTAGATCAGTGTCCTTTGTACGTTGAAATACTATATATTGTGAAAGACAAAATGATGTATCAAGGATCAAGTAGAAGATACATTGACCGTTGCGCTGGGAGTTTATTCAACAGACCGTGAAAATAACACTGCTGTATCTTATTATTTATTTTAGATGATGCAGGCAAAGCTCACTTCTCCTGGCGGCCATTATCAAACGGCCAGCTAAAACACAACCCCGCGCTTACGTCTACAGGTCTCTTCCTGTAGTACGGTAATTAGTATTCTCTCCCTCAAGTGTATCCTCAATGATATAACCCACCCTCATTAATTACATGCTGCTCTTTTCCAGCCTCACGGCTATGGAGCTGTGATAAAGAGTCCAAGTCATCATAAAGTAATCAGGGTCCAATAAAAACAATGCGCCGCCAAACCTCATACATATTATCACTGAAAGTCGTACTACAGACGGTTAATGTCAAATCACAATAAAAGCATTTCAATTGCAATAACATGTTCCAGGACCATGTATTCTCTTAATTAACACCATCGGATTTAGAAGCAATGGTCGTATAAAACAAAACAGATCTATTTAATCGCAACAGTATTCATGTTATTCCCACAAAATCACATAAAGAAAGGAGACATTAGGAAATACATGTGTATTATCATTTTTCGTCAGGATAACAAAATTTTCTCTCCTTGTTACCACCTCCAGGTTCAGCTTAAGACGGGTCCTCCTTTGGTCAAAAGTTTGTTCCCCCTCTAATGAGTGTGTCACGCGTTGCACACGAGTGGCGGATGGGGTGCACACCCGTGTGCAACGCGTTGCACACGGGTCTCACACGCGTGACCAACCCGATGCACACTGGTTGCGTAACGCGTTGCCCATGCGTGTAAGGGGAATGAACTTCTAGGCAGTAGTGTAGAGGTATTGTAATAACAGTGGTAATAACCACAGTGGCAGTAGTAGTATAAAATACAAAAGGAATGGAATAGCATAGCACGACGTTCAATACAAAAGAATCTATCAGTAATATACTCATCATGTCATGACAATTTGACAATTTAAATGTATATGCATTTCTAGTAGAAACAAACAGACAAAAAAGAAATGTAGATACTCCTGATCTAGATGCGAAAGTTTCAAAACAACAATTTTTTTCGGGACGAATGTACGAATGCGTATCCTAGAGGAATGTGGATGGCTGAAGTACACTACCTTCGTGACGTGACTGTTGGCCAGGACGTGCAGGTTTGGTCTGTCTATCACTGGCCACAGGAACGCCTTGGATGTGCTCATACGTTCCCCGTTCCCAATCGAAACCTGCGATCTACTAAATCCTAAAAAAAGAGTTACAATTGGCATTTATAACGTGTTACAACGTGCCTTTGCCTTACCACAGGACTCAGCAAAAATTCGGGGGAAAACCGTCATGAGCAGAATTCCATCAATAGGGTCCTGCAGATGTAATGGAAAGGTTGTTGAGAGTCAGGCGATTCCTTCCGTACTTTTTAAATAGTAGATCTAATAGAGACTCGCCAAACTGACAGACTGACATATACACACACAACTGACAGGCTGACACCCGGACAGACATGTAGGCAGGCGCAGAGCCTCATAAACCTACAGCTGGAAAAACAAGGGACTCTCAGGAGCAAGCAAAGACACTAAAAACTGACAAACACGCACACAGCCACAAAGACACAAAACGAACGCATGCAGACACAGAAAAAAAACAAGCACGCACACGCACACGCACACGCACACGCACACGCACGTTCCCTTGCCCAGACACTTGCCTTCCTGGTGTTCTCCGTTGTAGTCTATTTCTTTGAACCCGAGTTCCATTCCCGCCTTGACGAAGTAGTCAGCGACGGGTATTGCGTTCATTTCCGTCACAGTCAGTGGACCTCCCCGGCCATGGTATTCTTGAAAATGATGATGAATAAGAAGAAAACGTTATGTGTCGATTACAAACAAAAATCTTTTACACACCATCAACTATCATGAAAAGCGGAAAACCGAAGACAAGGCAGCGTTAATTTAGTAACGGCGATTTTTGAAGTATAATTCAGTCAGTTCGAAGAAAACGGGACTCATAATGTCTCTTCCCCTGCTATTTACGTTTGTTTGTTGGTACACCATTTAATGCCGCAATCGGCAGTATTCAAGCTATGTGACGGTGGTGTGTAAATAGTCTAGTCTGGACCAGACAATCCAGTGATTGACATTATGCGCATCCATCTACGCCATTGGAATATGGTGAAATGCAACCAAGACAACCAAGTCAACGAGCCTGACCGCGAGCCTCAACTTAAGCTATTTTCAAAGTAGCATTAAATTTACATTTAAAAGCGCCTTAATCTAGAACGAGCTTTCAGCTGACAATGCATTGCACGTGGTGATTATATTGACATGCGAAATGTAAATGATGTATATAGTTTTACAGTTACCTGAATTTTTTAATCTATCAATTTGTATGTCTTCCGATTTTTTAAAGTACGGGAGAACATCTTCGTAACTCCACCCCTCACTGCCACTGGCTGCCCAGCTGTCGTAGTCATGGCGATGTCCTCTGACATACTGCATATAGTTTAACTGGCTGCTTCCTCCCAAGACTCTACCACGTGGCCATGCTCCCCTCTGAAATTCATCTTAATATATCTACTGGAACACCAATGTAAACTATATTAAATCTTATCGTGGTTTATGTCACTGGTGTGTCACATTTTGAAATGCCCTACACATGTCTACCATAAAACATTTGAAAGCTTTACAGAGGCCATAAATTGTGTAACCTTGAGCTAACAACTCCTGAACAACAGTCGTGTGATGCTCTTTCAAATCATGGCAGACAGAGCATGCTCAATCAGCAAACCAAGAACCAAGAAAATAGGGCATGTGCAGTCACGAATGATGCAAAGACCAATTCAATGTACGAATACAACTGTATGTGCATGTGAATATCTTAATATATGATCTAATAAAAACTGCAACTTCGACCTTCACTAAAATAGGGCAACAGGGACGTGCGTGCTTTCAGAGACGTATTTGTTAACCTTGCCTTTTCTATTAGTCCTGAATGTGCATGTTGCTGAGGTTCGGTCAAATAGGCCCAGTCAAATTTGTCCATCTGGTTTAAGGCTACCATCAGAGGAGTATCCAGCGTCTTCTGGTTCCGGTCATCACCACCAGCCTCGATCAGCAGGACGGTCACGTCACCATTCTCGGACAGACGGGACGCAAGAACAGCCCCTGCGGACCCTGCCCCAACTGTGAAATAGAATACTGTTTTAACAATACACAAAACATATCTCAATTAATCATTTGCTGTGGTCGTCCAAACAGTAATGCCACAATTGAACCACATAACTCAATACTAACATTATATCATCATACAGCAATTGTTGTTACATTACAGTAACGACCCATTTGAAGATGAACTTCAGAAATATTCGAATATATGAATGTTACCTATGATATAGTCATAAAACGTCCTCAGTTCGGGGGAAAGAATTCCTTTGTCGTCAACAGGAAAGACGGAGAAACCGACGAAGATAGCGAGGATTGCAACATTGACGACAAGCAGCAGTGACGTCGTTGAAAATCCCATGTTCCTTTATTCAGATTTTGAATATTCTGTCAAAATAGACGGTCGTGTGCAATATGTTCCCCCTTTACATTTGGTTACATTATTTCTGCTTTTTCTGCAAGCCAAGCACTTCAAAATAAGCTTCATGTCGATATGAAAACTAAACATACTATTCATCCCCGTTTTCATTCAACTGAATAATCAGCCTCGGTCGGAATAGAAGCTGTCAAACCCATATCTTGCCGGACTAGGAAACTGAATTAATCGGATGGTATCGGCCTGTGACCTGGCTCATTGCGGGTCAGTTTGCTCGATTGTGTGGATCGTTGCTCATGTGTTTAGTCACCTTTTTGTCTCAGCCAGACAAACCACTGGGACTTATGGCAACTCAATGGGAAATACATGCACTGTAAACATTATTTGGTTTTACGTTTCAACGTGAAGTCTCTTTACGAAAGATAGTGTTTCCAATCAAATCATGAACTGGATTCCTTCGCTGACCTTTTTTTGTGCTGATACCAGACTGACACGCTCGTACCACAAGACAAGGGCATTTTGGTGTAGTTTCTATGCATCTCAACAAGATTTTCCTTTTCATACAACTTGTAAATGTATATACTTATTCGAATAAATACACTTCAAATACACTTCACACTCATTTTGTTCTATTCGTATAAATACGATACACCTCAGCCAGTTTTCCAATTATTTTATAAAACATTTGTTGAAATGGTCCTGATTTGCTCAGGGAAATTTTAAATAAGCCCCGTGTGTTTCTTACCGTAGAAACAGGTTGCTCGATGTTACACACGTCAAGCCTGCACCGAAGTTGTGGAGCTGTGTCGATAAGCCAAAGTCACAATAAACAACAAGAATACACAACCGCCTGTGTTCACTGTTCTACTCTGTGACTCAACAGATGCACCTTATTCCTTGACTCATATTTGAAGACATCTTATAGGGTAAATAAAAGCTATAAAACCCTTCCCAAATATACATATGTCAACGCCAGAGAATAATCAGTCTCGATTATCTGATGAAACATAATACATTGGCCATAAAGGGGATCACTGAAAATCAGTGATGACACCCTGATTTTGCGAAAACTGTAAACACGTACTGTCCTACCGAAAGCAAGAAATCTCTGCTAAGAGTCCATTGTTCGATTGCGATTGCGTCACTAGCATGTGCTTATGAATCAATGTCGTCAGCTAGTGATGTTACCATCACAGCAAATCCGGTTCCCGGATCCCTTCTGGATACCTCCGGACACTTACCCAAAACGCATCCTTGCCGATCCGTGGTATCTGGCACCGGATCCCTCACCGGATACCTAAAAAAATGTCACAATTTGGGGTGCATTTTGTTCAATTAAGTGTGGAACACCTAAAAATATATTTGAAACTAACCAAGAAAATTGAACATTGCTGAAGGTATCCGGAGGCGGTCTTTCGAGTCTTTTGTCTTGTAAATAATGTTAGCCTGTGCATATCAGATAGCTGCAGTAATATTCTGTGTTATTTTAGTTGTAAATATCCCCTTAAAGTTGAGATTTATGGGCATGTACTTTAGGAGAAGACAATTTTTCAATTTCATCTATGATTCTTTTTAGATGTTAAGCTGTTTAATGAACAAACATCAGTTCTAAGACATGTATGATGATATCCTTAAATTTCATGTTCAGACTTCCAGTTTGCTCTGAGTGAAAGTGTAAAGTCATCGACTGTGTGCTGACTTGGGCATTTTGTCCTGGTGAGATGATAATAAGATTATTTGTAACGGAACAAGTACTTGTTATATCTAGACATACAGCCTCACTCTGAGGGTGACATGTACCTGATTTCATCGCACAACAGAGAGCTCTTCCTCAGTTACTGTGAACATTTTTACTGAAAGACATTGAAAGATAATTTGACCTTCAATATCAGTTGCGACTTTTTCAAAAACAATTGTAAAGGGCTTCATATCACTTATATACCACTTATGAAGGCCCTTGGCAGAATAATATGCAACAATTAAAATATGGCTTATGCTACTCATTGAAATTAGGTAACTGTGATTTGTTACCACTGCTCATACATGAGTATTCAAATAATGTAACATATAGTACTGCATGCATAATACTTCACAAATATCTCCAGAAATACGCATTTTAGTGATAATGGAAAAAATACTTTATGAATGACCTTCACTTTTGCGTTGATCTTACAATTCAACCCTTCATGAGTCATCACTTTTGACCTTGACAGTGACAAATATTTAAAAACATTTCAAAGTGCTATCCAGCACAAAAGCCAAATATGATGTCCTTTGGTGGAATTCAATGTAACATTGACAAAAAAATGAATTTATATACCACTCTGTGTATAAGAGTTATTTAGACTTCTGCAGGAAAGGGCACTTCAGAGGAAAATTAAGAATATGTTGGTCATGTATGACCTTTTGCCAACTTCTACCCCTGCCCTAAGGAACAGTTTGGCCATAAACAAACTTTTTGTCTGGCTATGACATTGACCTTTAACATATCAGATCAATGTGTCATCAGACTTTCCCAGATCTGAGGAAACACATGTTATTCCTGAGATGTCCAAGCAATGCAATAACTGTGGTTATAATCAAACTGAGGCCAAATCTCGGAATAACCCCATTTACACAGCTGGCTAATGAAACTTTTACAACAAACAAATTATCAATTTCTTTTATTTATATGCCTATATCAGACATTGAACAGTGTTCACATGATGGTTCCTGATGTAGTATGCAATTTCCTCCTGTTCTTCAATACTCATAACAGAGCAGGATAACTGTTCGCTTGAAAGCACCAGCAGACCACGCTCTCCAGTTCCGAGTTATTTGCCCTCAAACCTCCTTTTCCTTCTATATTGCCATGGAAGAACAGGAACCAGGATGAGGGCAGGCCAGATGGGCTCTATCCTTGTTGCATAGTGTTAGTAGAATTGTGAACATTCTATTTGGTGTTTGGGTCCACATTTATAGACAATAAGTCCCATTCATCACTCCTTTCGAGTGATTACCACATGGCCAAAGACAACAATTTCTTCAACGTCCTTGAAGGGTCCCACTCCGACCTGGCCTTGGTTGGTCGTCTCACATTAGCCAGACCAGCCTTTGTGAGTGTGTCCCAGTGCCACTTGGCATACAACTTCTAGGTCGGCCTCCATTGAAATAACAGGACTCTCCTCATCGCTGTCTGCCAATCACTTCTGAAATCTGGAGGGGTCCTTCCAGACTGACAACAACAGACAGACTCATCCAGTGATCTCAAGCTGGGCCTCAGTTTCTGCAGAATTATGTATAACGATTGTAGCAATGAAAAAGAATTGTTGCAACATGAACTTACAGATAGAAGGCAGCAAATTCACTTTATTTATCATATATGAGTCTTGTTATATACTAAACATTTGAGATATATATTGTTACATGTTGATGAGTTGAAACAATCATTAACTGACATCTCTTAAAAAGGTTCCTAGCAACCTATGCTTGCCATACAAGCCAAAGTAATAGATGAGATAGTAAGTGGGCTCTCTGATCGCTCGTAATCGTACCCCAATGACGTGGGATATTGTGCACATCAAGCCCAAGGGATGCAACTATGCACAGCAAATTGTGGTGCCTTAGATAATTGTGCCATCCATGCCAACACGGTGATAAAGAACAAGTAAACTGAAGAAATATTTGCAGAATAGCTACATGAACATGATGCACCAAGCAGAATAATTTCAAATATTTACCACTCACTGCTTCTCTTCTCTTGTTCCTCATTGCTTCTCTACCATGGGCTTCTCTCTTTCCATTGATGCTGTGTTTTGACATTTACGACCCTTATGCAAATCCTTGTCGTCATAATAAACAGTTGATCATAAAACTAAAAAAGGCCCCTTCACGTTTACAGTAAAGTATGTAGATCAGGAACATTTCTAAATCAATCCGTTCCTTAAGAGCTCTGCACAGAAATCATTGAACATAAGGTCACGAAGCCCTGCTACCTAGTACCATCCAGTCAATTACCACTCTATAGTGCTACCGCTGTCTCGATATACCGTTACCGTGCCTCACGCTCCGGTGACTCTCGCTTCACGATCCAACACCCGTTTTCGGTCTTAGGGAAACTTACGCGTCTTTACGATCCAACACCCGTTTTCGGTCTTAGGGAAACTTACACGTTTTTACGAGCCAACACCCCTTTTCGGTCTTAGGGAAACTTACACGTCTTTACGATCCAACACCCCTTTTCGGTCTTAGGGAAACTTACACGTCTTTACGATCCAACACCCCTTTCGGTCCTTAGGGTTAGCTTGCTTTGGGCAAGGGTTAGCCATAATTTCTTACATTTTCAAGCGTTAATACAGTTAATCCGATTGGTAGGTCATGTTGACATAAACAATGGCGGGTTTGGTTTCAATGGGGTGCTAGTAACCCGTTAAACGACCACTGATTACATGCGATAGCGCTCGTGGTCCAGCGGTAGAGCGTCGGCTAATTAATGCAATAATGAATGCATTAATTAGCCAAGCCGGCGAAGCGCGTTCGAACCCCCACAGCGCTAATTGGATCTGCAAAAGTGCGCCCGGTAAAGTGCACTACTCCCGTTTATATCCATCTTCCAAAATGGCGCCCTGGACCGTAGAGGAATTATGGGTAAAATTCCGGGTTAACACTACACTGAACTAAGATGGTTCACGGCTCCCCATGCGCGTCGTCAAGTGGCGCCAAGCTATGTTGTGATATGAGAGACGGGGCCCAGCTTAGACACTGAACACGATCGGTCATTTCTGCAGCAGTTACGGAAAGGTGCGAGGTTTGCCGAATACAGTTCATCGGTGGCCATATAAGGAGCAGAGGGGAATTTGACAGTTGTATGGAATAGGTGTTTGCCTAGCATGCCAGCAATAAGGCAGCGTGACAAAGGGATATTCCAGCGGACCTGATATTCCTACAGCAGATATGTTTCACAACCTCGTCCAAATTGGCAAAACATTGAGTTTGCAGCTGAGGTCATGTTGGCAATGGGCTTCACACATTGTACCGATGTGGTGAATCGAACGCTTCAACCACTAGGCTAGAACAAACTGAGAATATGAAGATGCAATGTGAGGATATCAGCATACCAGGACTGATAGTTTTTCATTTAATATGCTGAACATCTAAAATGAAATATTTATGAAATTGAAAAATGTTTTCACCAAAAGTACATGCCCATAGATCTCAACTTTAAGGGGATACTGACATCTGAAATATCACAGAATATTACTACAGCTATCTGATATGCCCCGGCTAACATTATTTACTAGAAAAAAGACATCTCGAAAAATCGCCTCCGGATACCTTCAGCAATACGAAATTTTCTTGGTTAGTTTCAAATATATTTTTAGGTGTTTCACACTTACTTGAACAAAATTCACCCCCCAATTTGTGACATTTTTTGGGAAAACTCCGGAATGAGGTATCCGGTGGGGTATCTAGTGCTGGATCCTTGGACACCCAGATTGAGGTACCCGGTGCCGGATACCCGGATTCCAGGAGGCATGCTTTCCGGTGAGGTGTCCAATGCCGGATACCACGGATCTAGTATCTGGCAAGGTATCTGCCACCGGATACGTTTTCGTAAGTGTCCGGAGGTATCGCGAAAAGATGAGCGTATCTTGCCGGGACAGTGTCACTTATGGATTTACTAGATGTAACATATACTCTGGTGAATCGGAACTAATCTTTAATGTTGATATTCCCCCTGTTTGTTTAGTCGTGTAGGTATAAGGTTTCGAAGGTATAATATAATTGGACGATTCCGACAATATCATAAGCCCGTGTTTATCAATCACTTGTGAATATACTCAAATAGTGAATATACTCAAATAGTGGATATACTCCCATTGCTTTACATTATGTTTGTAACAGTCATGTTTTACATTGATCTTCTTAATATTCTCCTACTAGCTTTAAATACAAAATCGTTAAGTGACACAACCTGACACCATCGACATGTTTTTATATGACAAACGTATAACTTAGTGACATGAAATTTTAACACACTCGAGAGGCGACTAAAGGGATCGGTTGGTCAGGCTCGCTCACTTGGTTGATGCATGTCATCGTATCCCAACTGCGAGGATTGATGCTCATGATATCAATCACTGGATTGCCTAGTCCAGATTCGATTATTTACAAACCACCGTCATATAGCTGAAATATTGCTGAGCGTGGCGTTGAGCAACAAACAAACAAACATTCATTAAATATATCTGAATGCACACATGTGGCACATGCTACCACAGATGAAACTAGTCGCTAATGTAGACATAGCATGTCAAATTTCAATACCATCTGAAGTCAGTATCGTGTGTGCACATCCTGAGCAACCCCCTCTCCTGCCCATGGAAGGGATGAGAGTACTAAATCTTACCTTGGGGAATTGTGGCCCACTCGGCCTGTAGTCCTACCGTTGTGAGCCGTGCTGTGTGTGCACAGGCCCCTGAAGCAGGATAGTGATACAACTGAAACACTGGACCCATATATAGCAACCACCATCGCCGCTAGGCGGCGCGCTCAACCTCTCTCTCGATTCCGGGTACATTCTGACCTCACTGACAGCGGTGTCGTTTACGCTTTCATGTGGAAAATTCCAACAGCCTTGAACTTGGCTAGTAGCAAAGTTCATACGTCATATGCATAAATTACGCGTATATCGCCATTTTTTCCCCAGTTGTTTACTTCGAAAGAATTTACACTGCTTTGAATTACGAATCTAGACAGAAAAACAAATTGACAGCCATATACGCTACAGGTAACGTATTTTTCTTGTTCCTTAGACATTATCTGACTTATTTTCAAACCATTTTCATTAATATTTTGGCGTAAATGTATTGTAAATGTTTGGTAAGCGAGTGGTCTATAGTTTCACCAAGGGAGGTAATCTTGCACACTTACTTGCCGTACAATCGCGCGGTCGTTGTTACATGTCATTTATAGAAGGGGATTTCCAGGAACACTTGCCCTGTTTGCCATAATTTTTAATGATATTATCCTCTAATTTCATTATTTTATAGTTTTAAGTACAAAGTTGAGTTGGATTTTGTTAGGAATTATTATTAATTAAAAAGTACAGAAGGTACTTGGTCAGAAATGATATAATGTGGAAAACAGGGAACACTCTTCTGATAAATTATTTATAAAAATAATTAAATATTTTACATTATTGTGAGATACTCAGAAGGTACAACTTAAATAATGTGATTTCCTTTTTGAAAACCATTGATTTAGTTACGTTAATACTTTGTCTAATTCATTATATTTTGTTATTTCAGGTGGAAAACAGACTTCAGACAAAATACAGCAAGTTCGTGTTAGTGGTATCATGGTGATATTTTTTACTGTGTAAGAATTTTTTTAGTGTTTAAAAACTTTTTAGTGTTAAAGAACTTTAGTTGCTTGATGTCAACATTTATATGAGATGTCATGATTACATATTGGATATGAGGATGAATACCACTCAGAATAATGACATTTAATTTTTATTTTAATTTTTGTTACTATGGACTCTGGCAGAGTGAGGAGCAAGTAGATGAAGGGCTGACAAGATTGTCAGAAAGAGAACAGCTAAAGGCCATAGAATCGCAGCTCAAATTCAGGAAACAAGTACTAAAACAGAAATACAAAGATGCCAAGATCTTCTCCTTTTCAAAGAAGAATGAAGCTGGGAAGTACATTAAACATTCTCTTGCAGACTTGCGGTCAAATCTCCTGGTTTTGATAAAGGCAACCATGACCATGGTTACAACAGAGCAGCATCAGGAAGGCATTCCTCTCTTTGTTGGAAAGCATATTAGCACACTTTCCATGATGGTGTATACCAAGGGTATGATATTTCTGTAGTTCCAAGCTTTCCCAAATGGTACAATGTCAAGTATGAACATTATTCAGCAGTTTATGCATACAACTTGTGTGAAGACTTTGAGAAGGAGGATGTCAAAAAAGTCGTGAAACCTCACCATCAAAGTCAGGATGGGGGAGATTGATTGTGCTTTGAACAATTGGACATTGGCTGTACATATGTACATAGATATTTAGTTTTTATTACAGCTGATATATTTTGCGGTAGAGGTAATTCCAAATTATCATCTTCAGTTAAATTTTGAATGGTCTATCAATTTTGTTTTCAGTTTATTTCTTGATCAGTTTTGTTTTCAGTTGAGGTTTCTCTTCATTGTTTTAGCTTACCCTCTAAAAACATTTTATTCTGTTTGTTTGATACTAACTTAAATTAGGCATGAATATCAGCCAATTCACGGAAGTATACAAAAATCTCCGCACTCGGTGGCCTCGAACGCTCTGATTGGTATCCCCATGTGCGTTTGTTACGGTTGGAGCGCGGACCACACAGCACTCGACGCCATTGAGCGCGGAGATTATTTGTTTACTTCCGTGACCCACAGCCGCGACTGAAACAGGATTTCGATATAATCACTCGATATAGGTGATAAATTGCCAAAACTGAAGGTTTGTGGCATGCAGGTCGTATTTGGAGGGAGGTGGGGAGGTATCGTGAACATGACATGCATATATTTCCATTTGATTTAAACGATACAGCCGATTTCAACTTCGGCCAAGATGGCGAGTGACGTACCTTGTCTATTTAAATATATACTGAACAACAAAAGTTCCTGTGACCTTGAATAAGATTTAATGCATAGTTGTTTTTTACCAAATCTGAAACAATTTCGGTTTGCAACAGATAAAAGACTCCTGTAAGTGTTCAAATGCTGTAATTGCCATACTGATTTCAGAAAACGCGTGTTTTATAAAAAAAAAAGCATGAACATGCCAAAATGTCAATTTACAAATCAATTGCGTGTGTGTCCACCTCTGGTTGAGATGCAAGCAACACATCTTCGTCTCATGGAATGGACCAGGCGTCCCACAAAGTCCTGTGGGATATCTGTCCATATCTGCTGGAGCATGTTTTGAAGTCCCTGGAGTGTCTGTGGAACACGTGGTTGACGTCGAAGGCGCCGATCCAACTCATCCCACATGTGCTCGATTGGTGAGAGATCAGGGGAGCGAGCCGGCCAGGGGATGACATTCACGTTGTTTTTTTTAAAGAGAATCCTGTACAAGTCGAGCCATACGAGGCCGGGCGTTGTCATGTTGAAAGGTAATGCCTTGGCCACGACGACGCAAAAGCGGTAGAACAACAGGGCCGATGATCTCGTCGCGGTAGTGCTGTCCATTGAAATTTCCCTCTACCACTATCAAACGGGTCCTCTGTCTTGCTGTAATCCAACCCCATACCATAACGCTGCCGCCCCCGAACCGATCTTCTTCCTTGACACAATGATTGACGTAACGTTCACCTCGACGTCGGTACACATGAATCCGTCCATCGCTGTGGCTGAGGTGAAAACGAGACTCGTCAGTGAATAGAACTTATCCCCACTGCATGGCCGTCCAGCGTAGACGCTGTCTGCACCACTGTAGACGTGCTTGACGGTGGTTTCCAGTCAAAATGGGACGTCTGGTAGGTCTTCTGGCTACAGTCCCTGCACATATGAGGCCAGGGATGCTTCTTGCAGTCACTGTTGCTGGCTGGAATCGACTTCGTACGTGTGTTGTTCGAATCCAGGTGTCTTGTCGATTATTGGTTATGCGTGGCCTGCCACTCCGAGGATGGTCTCTGACTGCATTCGTCTGTTGCCAACATTGCCATAATCACCAAATGGTGTTTCTGTGGACGTTAAATTGTCTTGCAACATCACTTTGACTCGATCCTGCTTCAAGCATACCAATGGCTCGCAGACGCTCATTTTCGGACAGGCGTGGCATTTCGTAATGTTGAATAATTGCGTAATTTTGTTGTTTTTCTGCGTGGTTGTTGTCACGATGCTAAACAATGCATATGGAATCCCGTTAACGCACATGTTTTTATACCCATTCTTGGATAGTGAAATGCATTGGGCGTGCATAAAAATGTCAACTTTTGTATGGAATGCACGCTTTCTGTAGCAGTTGGGTTTTTGTGACTTGATTCCATACATGTATTACAATATTGAAGACCAAACTTTACCTGTTTGAAAAATATGAAATACTAAAATATTGGTGTCACAGGAACTTTTGTTGTTGAGTATATATGGGTCCAGTTTTTCAGTTGTATCACTTTCCTTCTTCAGGGGCCTGTGTGTGTGTGTGTGCTGTTGCGTTATGCCAGTGCCAGGTACGACAGTCTGCGGCTTAGGCGACACTTTTATTTCTTGGTTTAAGGATGCGCCGCTCTTTCAAAGTCCAAATGTTAAAATTACCCTTTTTTTATTACCGCCGATCTTTTCGTCAAAAAGTTCAAACCAAAAAAGATTTCATTTCCTCGTCGAGCGTAAAGCAAAGGGAAGTCACTCTGATATTTCTTGCTGGGATCCTTCTCTAATACCATCAGAGCTTGTCAACGCAAAGCGCAGTGGTGACCAGTTTAACTTTTTCAACACTGTTGGCCGGTCAAGAAGCCATGACTCACACCGCAGGGTAGACCGACCAACTCACATCAAAATAGTTTATAATTTTATTAACCTACTTGTCATATCATTCATTTATTAAATCTATCACATTTCACAATGTCTGAAATACGTATTCCATTTGATTTTATTATTTTTTATCTATAGATTAAAAATTTATTTACTGGACACTATTTCCCGAAATGTTAGTGAAAATAAATTCTCGGAAACACTTCGACAACGGGTCCTCATCAAACATGTCAAACAGCAAAATAAAGACGTTTCAAGCAAATCTTACAAAGTAATAAAATCAACGAAAAAATATCTAAAAGTTACCAAACTGACATCTAAGTTATTTTTTCCATCTTTTCGTGCGATCGCGTGTTATCGTAAGTAAAATGACATCTCGGCTTTCATTGCCTCGATTTCTCGGCTCGTACTCGATGTCTTTAATGCCAAAATATATGCATAAGAAATCTTTGTCACAGCTTGTAACCTAGCACTATGCATCAATAAATTTCCATATTTTTAATATAGATCGCGATTTATGCTTAAAACGTTCAGAATAACTTGATTTAAGCCAAATCTTTCGCCAAAGTCTGAAAATTACCGTTGCTGTAATTTGATTGGCTTCCTTAGGTCACGTGCTTAAATTTGACCAATCACGAACCTTGTAGCAGATTATGTCGGTGAAACAATATAAGTTTTTTTAATGTATACTGACATGGCAGGCTTCGACGTATGTGTTATTCATACGAAGCTTTGAAAACGGAGTGAGCGGACAGTCACTATCATCGGGAAATGGCTGATGACAGATATTATTTGTAATCCTATTTAAAATAATGTTCCAACAACGTAAACAAATGAAAATAAAAAAGAAATAGGTAAGTTCATTTTATGAAATCTTATATTTGCCGAAAATCGTTACGTTTTCGCTTCATTGGTCCTTAATCTGGACGTTATGAATGTTTTAGCTTTCATTATTTTTATTTAAAACGAACTTTATTAAGTTGTTAATGAATTATTTAAATAATGCCATATTTCAAGGAGGATGTGGAAGGATTTCATAGCCACAGGACCGCGCTTCTGTCTGGGCAACATGATTGTTGTGTACTGGAGCATTGTCTTGCAGGAGACGGACACCCTTGGTCAGCATGCCACGCCTCTTAAGCTTGATAGCGTCCCTCAATTTCCGCAGCAGTGAAGCATAATAAGCTCCTGTAATTGTGGTACCCTTTGCCAAGAAATCCATCATCACTACTCCGTGCTGGTCCCAAAACACCGTGAGCATGACTTTGCCTGCAGAGGGTTGGACACGTGCCTTCTTTGGGGGTGGTGACTCCACATGCTTCCATTGCATCGACTGAACTTTAGTCTCAGGATCATAGTGACGGACCCGTGTTTCATCCTGTGTGATAAGTCTGTCAAAAACGTTTGCCTGTTTTTTTGGGCACATGTCCAAAAGATCCTTTGAGCAATTGACTCGTTCCTGCTTTTGGAAAGGTGTAAGCAGCCTGGGAATCCATCGTACAGACACCTTATGCATGTTCAAATTGTCATGGATGATTTTTTCCACAGACCCTACACTGATCTTGACATCTTGTGCTAACTGGCGAACAGTTATACGTCGGTCTGCCAAAATGGCGGTTTCCACTTTATGGATAGTGTCCTCATCAATGGCTGAATGGGGGCGACCAGAAATGGCAGCTGTTTCCACAGATGTCCGACCACACTTGAACTGGCGATGCCAGTGTTCAACAACGTCATATGATAGGGCATCTTCCCCATAAGTTGCTTAAATTTCATCGAAAGTTTCTTTTGGTGTGCGACCTTTCAAATATAAAAACCTAATCACTGCTCGGTATTCTACTGGCTCCATTGTCACACCCTACTAGATCATAACACCTGTAAAAGTATAGGACTAATAGTTCGGTGCTGCAAATTCAGACATAACCCAAAGATACATGTATCATTACACATGTGAGATTTCAACCAAATATGATAACCCTAAGTGGTTTAGGGGAAACCTTTAATGAACACCCCTCGTACAAGATGTTTTGCAAGCTGATAATTTCCTTGATAAATGTTGACTTCATCTATCACAAAAGAATCTCTGGGAACTTGGTGTCACAGCAGTAATCTTCTGGTAGGCTGGTGTTGAAAGAGTTAAACGTTGCCCATGCTGGAAAAATAGCAGCGTCTTTCATGCATTTCCACCCATGATATGAATACTGTTGTTATTTTGCCATTTGTGCACAAGCTGAGTGAAAAATTGAGTTATTTTACTTTTGTTACTCCAGGATATTTTTGTTCATACCTACCTACCTTTTTAGGACAAAATACAAGTAAAAGAAATGTGAGAGGCTTTTTTTTCTTCTTTTTTTTTAAATTGGCCGGTCTCAACTTTGAAATGAGTGTGAAATCCGTAAACCAAGAAATAACAAGTATTTGTACACCATACTACCAAATATGAAGACAATCAAGCGATTAGTTCTTGAGATATTGTGGCAACACCGTTTTCCAACTCCAAAAACAGATTTGCCTGCTGTGACCTTGAAAATGGGGTCAAGGTCACCAAATCTGACTGGTGTATGCGGTGTCTGTATATACACTATAGTTCCAAATATGAAGACAATCCAGCGATTAGTTCTTGAGATATCGCGGCAACACCGTTTTCTAACTCCAAAAGCAGATTTGCCTGCTGTGACCTTGACAATGGGGTCAAGGTCACCAAAACCGACTGGTGTCTGCGGTGTCTGTATATACACCATAGTTCCAAATATGAAGACAATCCAGTGTTTAGTTCTTGAGATATCGCGGCAACACCGTTTTCCAACTCCAAAAGCAGATTTGCCTGCTGTGACCTTTAAAATGGGATCAAGGTCACCAAAACCGACTGGTGTCTGCGGAGTCTGTATATACACCATAGTTCCAAATATGAAGACATTCCAGAGATTAGTTCTTGAGATATTGCGGCAACACCGTTTTCCAACTCCAAAAGCAGATATGCCTGCTGTGACCTTGAAAATGGGGTCAAGGTCACCAAAACCGACTGGTGTCTGCGGAGTCTGTATATACACCATAGTTCCAAATATGAAGACAATCCAGTGTTTAGTTTTTGAGATATCGCGGCAACAAACAGGTGGGACGTACGTACGGACGGACGGACGGACGGACGGACGGTCGTGAATACTATATCCCCCGCTTCGCGCTTTCGCGCGGCGGGGGATAAGAAAAGTGTTGCCTTAGGTTGACATTGTCACGTCCATCCAGCCAACTCATCGAGAGGAACCGGAATGTATCATTCTTTGAAAACTTAATAATTAGCCTCGTTCAGAATAGGACCCAGGCATCCCATTCCTGTTGACAGGCAATTGAATTGGATCTGGACGTCATGAGTGATTGTGAGGATTGTTGTTTACGTTTCCAGTCATTGGGTTGTCCTGTCCATAATAACAAAACCACAAGATATATATCTGGGGCGTTTTGCACAAAGCAATGTAATCGGTATTCCTGTTAAAACACTCGTGAAAAAAAAATGGCGGACCAAACCTCGTTTTTAACACGCTACTCAAATACCCTAGCAGGAAATACGCCTGAGAGCCGATTGAATTTTACGACCAAGAAAATGTATTGTCACGCCAATGTAAGCCAAAGTTAAATTTCCTTCTGATTGACCAAATATGGTGCCTTGGCATGGATATGTACTTGTAGTCAACAGTTTAAGATGTCAACAAGGGCAGCAGCTCAATACAATTTCTGTCAGCATTGCACCTTAAATAGTTCCAGCATGAATACTGAGGTCAAAAGTATGGAATGAATGTACATATATACTGAACAGCACTGAAAACGCACCACCATAAAAATGGATGTATTTTTATTCGAAAATATATAAGTGAATGAGTAATAAACGACGTTCTGGACGAAGCATGAAGAAGAACAGCTCATCAAGACACATTTCTAATTTTTTTGTGAGCGACATCGCCAAAACGCAACAAATTGCGTGCACTTCATGGAAAACGTATTTTCTTTCACGGGAAGCATGCAGAATAGGGCTATAAAAGACAGACTTTTAAAAGCCACATCACTTGTTGCTGCAGACGTAAAGGGTACTGACACAAAAATGCCAAGATTCACAGCAGAGGGAACATGAACGTGCCTTGGGCATGCTTCAAGTTGGTACGTCAAGTAGAGTCGTTGCACAACGGTTTCAATGCCATCATTCAACAGTCCTTAGGCTACTGAGCAGATACCAGCAGACAAGCACCACCAGAGATCGACCACGTCCGGGTCAACGTCGTGTAACTACACCTCGTCAGGATCGCCATATTGTTCGTCGGCATCTTCGTGATCGTACACTTCCGGCTACCAGGACTGCAGCAACCGTACAAGGCCGACGGGGTTTGATCAGCGCTGACACCGTACGTCGACGTCTCCGCTCAGCAGGGCTACGTGCTCGACGTCCCTATGTTTGACCCATACTCACTGATCGACATCGAAATGAACGTCTGCGTTGGGCCAAAAGGCATCGTCATTGGAGATTGCGGCAGTGGCATGGTGTGCTGTTCTCTGATGAGTCCCGTTTCCATTTACGGAATGCTGACGATCGACTGCGAGTGTGGCGTTGACGTGGAGAACGTTACCACAATGACTGTGTTGTACAGACAGATCGATGGTGGGGAGGGAGTGTCATGGTGTGGGACGGCATCAGTCATAACCATCGAACAGAGCACCATGTTTGTCGTGGAAGAGTTAATGCCCTTTACTACAGGAATAACATATTGGCAAATCACGTCATCCCATTCTTTCATCAGCACCAGGATATGCACACCTTCCAGCAAGATAATGAAAGAGTGCACACAGCACATGTTTCAACACAGTACCTAGCGAACAATAATGTGCCTCTACTTCCATGGCCAGCCCTGTCACCCGATCTATCGCCAATTGAACATCTATGGGATTACCTGGGTCAACGCCTCTCACGTCGTCCGCAAGTACAGAACCTGAGAGAACTTGAAGATACACTACGTCAAGAGTGGAATGACCCAGAACACTATTCGCAGACTTATTCGATCAATGAGAAGACGTTGTATGGCCTGTGTTGCTGCCAGTGGTGGACATACCAGATAATGATTTTTCATTTAAACCCTATGTGTCTTCCTTACATTGATGACGTAAATTTTATTACTGTGTGGTATTCCTGTTTCCTTTGTCGTCTTCCTTAATTATCCGTCTATGTCTGTTCTACTTAAAATCGGTCATTGCTCAAGTTGTTTTTGTAATATTTCAAGATTTATTGCTTGTGCGTTTTCAATGCTGTTCAGTATATTTTGTAAAATATTGTTGCACTATAGGCGACGTACGACTGTTAAATTTACTTTACACCAAAGTTCCAAGACTCCTTCTCAGGAGAATCGCTTTTCCAAAACCAAACAATTTCCAATTGTTCGACAAAAACACTAAAATCCTCACAAAATATGTTAAACAAATTTGATGTCATCATAGTGAGACACATACATGCCAAGGTTAAGCTTCGACAGTGAACAAATGTGAGGAATAGGTGTTAAAGGGCCCAAAACGCATTTGGAGAAAATTCAAGAGCACCCGTTTCATTTTGAGCAAATATTGCTGAGCAGTAGCCACAAAAAAGACTTTTTCTATAAGGCTAATACTGTAACAGCAATAATGAAAAATCGGATTCGAGCCTTTTGAGCAAATGAAGGCCTAGGGCATCATTGGTAAGATGAAAACAGTTTAAGATTCATTGGTCTACTGGTATATTCACAGAGCAGAGACTCGATTTTGAGAAGAATTAGAGGCATGGTCAATGTGCAAAGGTCAGATCAACGTCAATCTTTAATAAATCGCGAAAAAGAGAACATATATCTTAAGACACACTACTTACTAAATATTTTCGGACTTTCATTACATTTGGAACAAACATGACAAAATAATGGACTTTAATCGGTGTTTCAATATGTTTGTTTGTTTGCTGTTTAACGCCACACTCGGCAATATTCCAGCTATATGACGGCGGTCTTTAAATAATCGAGTCTGGACAAGACAATCTAGTGATTGACATCATGAGCATCGATCCACGCAATTGGGACCGATGACATGCATCAACCAAGTCAGCGAGCCTGACCACCCGATCCCGTTAGTCGCCTTTTACGCAAGCATGGGTTGCTGAAGACCTATTCTACCCCGGATCTTCACGGGTCTGTCAATCGTGGTTTCCATACAACGTTTAACAAATCAGATTCAAATTTGAACAAATGGTGGGAGCAAGCATGTCCTTTGGTTTCTGATGGGCCGATATGTACAGAATATAGGGCGCATCGTCACAGTATTATATTGAGGAACATGGTTTGTATGTCAATGTAGGCTGCCAGCATGGGACGTTGTATATAATATCAATCACTGGGTTTCCTGGCCAAGACCCGATTGTACAGCTGAAATGTTACTGCCAGTGGTGTAAACCAACAAAAAATGGTGTCACCAATCGAGAGAACAAAAGTCAGTGTGGACAACTGACAGTAACTGAAACACTGTATTTCTCGACCTTTGAGGCCATCAAATTGCATGCGGCTATTAAGGAAGGCAGATCATCCTAATTGTGTCACGAAGGCTGTACACAGACAGTGGATGCATAATACAAATCCAACTTCTATTCTTGTGGCGCATGGTTGAAAAATGCGATTTGCACTTGGTTTTTTTCAAAGTAGTATGTGAAATTGTGTATTCTATTGTGAATTTGACGTAATGTTTTAGATGGGGTGATAATACCTTGTTTTGATTCTTCACGTGTGAACATGTGAAGCCCATTTTTGGTCTCTCCTGTCCTGACAGAATATATTGCTAGAAACGACACAGAATTCATTCACTCACAGATTAGATGTTCTTTGTGCTGTCCTGATGGAAAATCCACACGAATGAGAACACAAACAGTTTTGAGGAAAGTATTTTTAATTTTTACTCCAGATTGAAAACAATCATCGAAGAACATTATGTGATGTTTACGATAACTAAAGCGTTTTATAAGCATATTTTATGTTATAATAGATAGATATGCAATAATAAGAGAGAGAGATAGAGAGATAGATGATCTATCTAAAATGCGGAAGCAAGATTATCCTTATTTGCTACTTTTGATGATGTCCGCCGCCTTTTCTCCAATCATGATGCTCGGGGCGTTTGTGTTCCCTGACACGAGGGCCGGCATGATGGAGGCGTCCGCGACTCGCAGTCCAGCAATGCCCTTCACTCTGCAAAATATTAAATTGAAACCGACATTCAGATTAAACTGACGACTTCGAGTCAGCTTTCAGCAACTACTTTGTTTTTCGTCCTCCAACATACACTTTTCTCCAATAATGAGACAGTCAGTTAGTGCATGTTCGACCAACGTCGGACAACATTGGGGACATCACATACAACATAAACCTACAGGTTAACGTTTGAAAGACGGATAATAAACTAACTTCTGGTTGTCCCGTCACAGCTCGGTTTATATACGTATCAGGATGCTCTGATACGTTTGTTATTTTCTAAATACATTTACAAACTAATAGACTTTAAATACCAACATAACACGAAGGCAAGTTTACCCGCGCCTATCAGTCAAGCACGGAACGACCACAAAAGCATTAAAAGAATTAGCTGAATGTCCATGAAAGTTGCTGATCTCTGATGTGATCAGAGCTACAAAAATTCAAGGTGATATTCATGTAGTTGACCTGTAGACAAACAAATCCTGGAGATCATTTTAGATTGGTGAAAACACAACGAAATAGAATAGTTGAAGTTTTCCAAAGTCACCCACCTCAGTTGAGGATCCACCACTGTAGTTGGGTCGCTTGGTTTCCCCATCTTGCAAGTGGTGGTCGGATGGTAGACTGTTGTAGCCAGGGCCCGGACATAACACTCCCAGTATTCATCAGTGTCATACTTCATAGTGTTGCATGTCGGGAAGGGTGTGTCTTCAAGCTGGGCTCCTATTTCCTTGAATGCCTTTGTCTGATGAAGTTTCTGGACGATGCGAACACCTGTTGAACAAAAATGTCTTTTAAATTCATTTGATCTATTTGATATTCCAAGGTATATTTTTGAGCAAAGCGTTATTAATTCAGCTTGACTATCTGTAGTTCAAAAATAGTTCGTAGAAAAGTGCTAATTTCATTAACAAAAATATGAGCGTGAATTCTAATTCTACAACGCTGCACCTGATGTTAACTTTGTTCTGGTTGTGACATCTGTCATCTACTTATGGATGGACAAATATACATGATCCCTTATAGATGATGTTGCCTCAACAGAACTAGATCCATAGCAAAGGATGCTGCGTTGCCTGCAGTATGTTCTTGTTAAAAGAAGATACTCCCCCTGGTAAAAGTTGTTACTTTACCCGAAGTATGTTCCCATTAAAAGTATTTGGTTTACTCGAATTATGACCCTGTTAAAAGTGATTGGTTTACCCGCAATACGTCTTTGTTAAAAGTAGTTGCTTTGCCCTTGAAGGCCCTGATAACTGGAATTGTTTTCACCTCTAACTAAAGTCTTGGCGTCATCGGGATGTGACAGGTAGTTGGGCTCGATGATAGGATGCTCGAATGGGTTGGTGCTTCTCAGGCGGATTGTCCCCATGCTCTTTGGACGGAGTAAAGTTGGGAAGATTGTGAAACCATCTTCAGCCGACGTCCAGTTGAAATGAGCAACGATCTAAACAAGAAGTTGATGATCGTTATTTAAGGGAAGGGACGTTTCAAGACAAGCGAGATTATGTCGTGGCAGTGTGCGTGTGTAGTCCGTCCATCCGTCGGTCTCCCCTGAAACCACAAGCCTTATTCATTAAAGACCACAGCTACGGTGCTTTATAGTCCCACAGAATTATGTAAAGCTGGTCACATATTAAAAATGTCATATTTGCCCATTGCTCAGCCATTAATACATGTGTCATTATAGAATTGGATCACATTTATTCACTCAATCGGGGCAAGGTAACACTCAATCAACATAGGGCCCTAATGACTGTGCCCTGTTTGGTCGGCTGTTTTGCCAAAGAAAGGGGGCATGGATACGGGGCACCTGTTGTGATTCCTGTGGAAATAAAGCACTCTTACCTTTTGGTCAAAGTTAAACAGACGGGCCAGACTTTTGTCCATCGAAGCACAGACAAAGTGAAACTGAACGTCTGGACTTGGCTCGTCGGATTTCGTCTTCACAAACGCCATGGCTTCCATACCCCCGCTTGATGTGAAAAGACCTACATTTAAAGACAAAAACATTGATTTTCCAACTTTGCACATCACTGTCCCACACAGGAAAATATATTCCTAGATCCATGGGGCATTTATCAAAACGTGGTGACCATAAATATAGTTACATCTCTATCGTCAGAGGTTCATTACAGTTTGTCACAAATGAAAGAAAATATTGTATGGGGTGAGGTGACATCAATATACGGATATATTCAACAGTCAACTTTTCCTTTTTGTCAAGCAATATTCCAATAGCTCAAGCCTTTTTGTCAACGTTTTACAACTTTCATCATATTGTCGGAATCTCAGAGATTCCTTTGATTATGGAAAAGGGCTCCTCGCTTTTGCTTGTGGTGGATATATTGCCCACATCAGAGTTTCTTTCATTTGATTGGGATAAGAGATAAATATCATTCTGTTTGTACTGCCGGCCAACACTTCACATTTTCTTCAGCCGAGGGATCCTGGGTACTTTGGTCCTATTCGAAGGAATTAGAACAACATGCATCACAAATACATGCGTGAGAACACAACCTCGGGTGTCGACGGGTATTTAGTGTATGGCTTGAAGTCTAAGGCTTATCTTGATGCACCTACTACTTGCAGGATTGTTTCCCGAAATATGGAATATATCCCTTCAACCATGATGTTCTCAAAACGACAACTGTAGACCAAGGTGTTTTCAGAACCTGAGAAAACCGTCACGTTCAACAATGCAGAAATTTAAGAAATGTCGAAATTGTCTTCTGAAGCTCCTTTTCCACCCACGTAACAAGTAGGATCGTTCACTAAAATTCCTGCCTGTTCTTTGGTGATGTTGACAGCAGTACATTCAAGAAACCACAACTGAAAAGAAGTGTACTTTGTGGAATTGTTGGTTGAAAAGAATCACAGAAGATGCTGTTTTGCAAGATATATAGAACCATCAGGTGTTCCATTCTCGCTCTTCACAGAAAAAAGCAAAGGTTTCCAAGAAGACATCGACAAGAACCGCCCCCTGCTTTTAATACACATGACTCAGCAGTCACAAAATGTTGACAACCACCTCTCAACCTCGTAAGTGAGCCGCGCCACAAGTTTTGTTCACAGCTATTCATACACTGACTCCGACTTAGACAACACGGTTTTGTTGCCAGCAGTTACGCTTTCAACCAAAGGAACCGGAGAACTGAGTTTCTGTCGTTGTTGTGACCTGGGCTTATTGTACTCAATCCTCATGCAAGCATGCGAACTCATCTCAAGTATTTCTTACCAACCCGCGTTGTGCGTACAGGCGTTTTGGTGCTCATGCCATGATGAGAAGAAAGACAAAATTGAGTAAAACTGACTTTATTGTAACAATGTAATATTGTAGTACTATTGTGTTATGAATGATGTTCTGGTGCTGAACCTTTTTGGTTCTGAATTCTTATTACTTGGATATAACTGCACAATATGACCCCCATATATTGGTTGGAATCTTGAAGAGGCGACTAACGAGATGGGTGGGCAGACTCGGTGACTTAGTTACTGCATGTCATTGTATTCCAATTGGGTAGACCGATGTTCATGATATCAATCAATGGATTGTCGATTATTTACAGACCGCCGTCATATCGATTGAATATTGCTGAGTGCGGAGTTAAACACCAACGTCCTTTAAATATGACGTATTGTGTAGTTTCGTGTTCGTTGGCCTGCCACACCACGAATGGTGCGAAACAGACGTCGTAAACACTAAGAAGATGTGTTTCTTTCGCGATAAAATCGTTTGATTAAATAAAATGTAAAATATTTTTGTTCAGGAGTGAGTGAGTTGGATTTTAACGCCGCTTTCAACAGCATTCCAGTTATATCGCGACGTTTCAGCTTACTGTGGGGGGAAAGCCTGAAGTGATGCAGGTCTCAGACGTTTACCACTTCCGTGAAACCCACGAGCACGGTTATAGTGCTGACAAACCTAGAAACATAATCGGAACGAACCAGGATTCGAACCCACAATCATAGGTTTCTGGCGTGCCCAGGGGATGCAACTCTGCACAGCAAATCGCTGCGCCTGAGACGACTGGGCCACCCGTGCCACCTCTTTGTTCAGTAAAATACACACTAAAGTTCGCCTAGTTGGTAATACATGAGGGATATATGCTTGAATAAATCCTTTAGGGAAATAGAACTTACCTGATTTCAATGCACGATATTGGATTGAAGCAAGGGTTGAGTCTAATTTGCTTTCCGTGAGGCCAATAGGCTTCTGAATTTTCGACACCATGACGAGGATCATGTGATCCTGTAAGCTTTCGCCAACTGGGAGGCTAGCTTGAACTGGAATCTGGATATTGTAATACAAGTGACAAAACCATTTCCATAATTATAAGAAACAAAGGGCAATAAGTAGAAGCCTCATGCCTCAAGTTACTGGTTCTCTGGCATTAGAAGTCAGAAAGAAAGACTTGTTGAACACAATGGATGCTGAAAGCTGATAGTATTTTTGTAGTTGAGTTTTCGATAAATCGGTAAGCCGCTTCTTAATTAGAACGGCGTAGGTTGCAGGGGATCTATTCTAACCCGGAATCCTCTGGCATTAGAAGTCAGAAAGTAAGACTTGTTGAACACAATGGATGCTGAAAGCTGATAGTATTTTTGTAGTTGAGTTTTCGATAAATCGGTAAGCCGCTTCTTACGAACGGCATAGGTTGCAGGGGATCTATTCTAACCCGGAATCCTCTGGCATTAGAAGTCAGAAAGTAAGACTTGTTTAACACAATGGATGCTGAAACCTGATAGTATTTGTGTAATTGAGTTTTCGATAAATCGGTAAGGCGCTTATTCAGAACAGCATAGGTTGTTTGGGATTTATTCTAACCCGGAATTCTCATGGGGACATTCTATAACACACTTGGGACTTTATTTATCTACAACTTGAATTGACAGTTGGTACGTTTAGAACAGAAGACGAAGGCATATCACTCAATAAGAAGTAATTAAAGAACCTACATGTATTTTGTTCACGCTCTAGGTACACAAATGAAGGAAATTAATCTCACACAGTAAATAAATGACTGTTATTTAATGTGACAACTCTTAAGCCGAGTCGCAAGAGTTGGCTAAAGAGCATTAAGTACCCGTCCAATCAATTGCACTCATGGGTAAGGGACAGAGGGTAGGGGTGGTATATGGCTTCCGAAACATTGAAGTGGTAAATGGTTCCAGGGTATTTGTTATTACAGAATGGAGATATAATATCCTAGATGGTCCTGGATGTGCTGATTGCAGCATTATTACTGAAGCACTCGTAAATCTACAATAGTATGCAATGTTCAAGTCTAACGCTTATCTTGTAAAAAAATACTATCAAGTATTTTAACGTCGTTATTCATTATACACCTTTTCTTGATCAATTCTCTTCTGGTAGGATACTCTCACCTTTTCAAGAACACCTGGTATCATCAATAATTGATAGTGATTCTTAAACACATGCTCAAGAAAAAGTAGGAATCGTACAATCGTCTCTTCTTTAGCAGAATATGCCTTATGAATATGGAAAGGGTCCTGTCGAGTTTATTTGAATAACGGTTAACCAAAATGATGAGGTTTGAGCTATATTTTTCGTGTGACCTAAACCGACCTTTGACCATACCCGGAAGTTACTCTAAAACTAATGTGATTAAGACACGACAAAAGAATGTCTTATTAATTCATAGAAAGGCGACCTTCGCCTCAATATTACATAATGCTGTGTCAGAAAATGGTCACAGGGATATATGTTGCATCTGTTCGAAACATGCAGCGTCGGGGTGTCAGTTTGGGCAAACCCTTTAGGATCTGTGTTTGTGTGGGCTTTATCTAAGACATGCTGACACGCCATGATGTAACCGAAATATTGATAAAATTGTTATTCCTAACACAATCATGTACCGTAATGAGAACCATACCACACGGATGCTGATAACATGCTCAGGACAGTGTTTGCTGTGGCATTCTACCTTGAAAATGTGATCAGATGTACTAATATTGGATGAAGACGTACATCTGTGATGAGAGAACAGCAAGTCTGATCTACAAATTTAAATTGTGACATAAATTGCATGAAGAGATCGATGCTCAGTTCTCACCTTCATCTCCTCCAAGTGTTTCTTTGGCCCGATCCCTGACAGCAACAGCAGCTGTGCCGATCCAATTGCACCAGCTGACACGATTACCTCCCTTGAAGCACGAACCTTGTACAGGCGGCCATCTTTGACATACTCGACACCAACTGCTGTCTTCTTGTTTATCATTACCTGGTGAAAACAATTGGCCAAACTCAGTACTGAACTAGTGTGTGATGTATGTACGAATGCGTATCCTAGAGGAATGTGGACGGGTGAAGTACATTACCTTCGTGGCGTGACTGTTGGCCAGGACGTGCAGGTTGGGTCTGTCTATCACAGGCCACAGGAACGCCTTGGAAGTGCTCATACGTTCCCCATTCCCAATTGAAGTCTGAGATCTACTAAATCCTGAAAAAGTTACAGCTGAACTTAGTATAGTATTACAACGCGCCTTGGCCGTTCCACTGGACTAAGAAAATATTTGAAGGAAAACCGTCATGAGCAGAATTCCATCAATAGGGTGCTCAAGATGTAATTCAAAGGTTGTTGTGGGCGATTGGGCCAGGCGATTCCTTCCGTACTACTTAAATACAAATTGTCGGATAAAAGTACCAAATAAGGTCACGGATTGGAATCCATTTCGTTGAACAGAGACACAAATAGAGACAAACCAAACTGACAGACTGACAAAGACACACAGGAACATGCAACTGTGACACAGACAAGCGGGCAAACAGATCGGCAGACGCAGAGCCACACAAACTAACAGGTGGAAAAAGACACATCCAGGGACTCTCCGGAACAGGCATATACACACAAACTGACAACCACGCACATCGCCACACAGCCGGACAGACAGAAATGAACGCACGGAGACACAGACAATCGAGCATGCACACGCACCTTCCCTCGCCCAGATACTTGCCTTCCTGATGTTCTCCGTTGTAGTCTATTTCCTTGAATCCGAGTTCAGTTCCCGCCCTGACGAAGTAGTCGGCCACGGGTATTGCGTTCACTTCCGTCACAGTCAGTGGACCTCCCCGGCCATGGTATTCTTGATGATGAATAAGAAGAAAACGTTATGTCTCGATTACAAAAAAACAAAACAATTCACACACTGTCAACTATCATGAAAAGAGGACTGGTTGGTTGGTTGGTTTGTTAACGCCGCACTCAGCAATATTCCAGCTATATGACGGCGGTCTGTAAATAATCGAATCTGGACAAGACAATCCAGTGATTAATATCATTAGCATCAATCCACGCAATTTGGACCATGACACGCATCAACCACGTCAGCGAGCCTGACCACCCGATCCCGTTAGTCGCCTCTTACGACAAGCATAGTTGCCTTTTACTTCACGCGCTCAAGTGAATTGTTGACGTCATCCGGTCGGCATTGTTCATGTCATGCGAATATAATTTTAAGTTTACACGATATACGGCTTTTCCACTGGAAGAGAGGTCGGTCACATGACCGCGAAATTGAAGTTCATAAGTGTATGAACGACACAATTTGACGTTCATACGTTTTTCACGAGACCGTGTTCTTGAAATGACGTAAACACTGCCGGACTACTTCCACATTCCTGGGGAAATCCCTGGGAATTCCCTAGCACGGAAACATACATAAGCGTTTTTTCTGATCATTTAGATCCTTTATTCTTGGTCTCCGCGTTTCAGTATACATTGAGAAATGTCAGAGAGCGTGACTGCATGATTGTTAACGAACATCCTCGCTACGGCCTATCCTTATGAATAAACGAAGACATGCACATCTAAACTATCGTAGTATCGACTCGATCCGTGTCCAGGCTGACACTGACCGTCTCCAGCAATCTATAAATTTACCTTAGTGTCTGTTTGACGCATCTTTATTCACCTTTCAATGATCGGCCAGTTGATCAACGATGACTAACATATGTAACCGCCACAGGTTCATTAACAACTTCGGAAATCTCTCCCGTCACGTTTATCGTGTCGGCCATTTTGACATCTTGTACTTGATGTAAATGTATTACGACACGCTGTCATTGTGACTGACTTACTGAGGTAGTTCTTCACAAAACTTTCTCATCTAATGAGGATATGATTTGAACATATGTGCTGCGTAAGATGTTTCTGAAGAGCAAGTTATTCGTCCATACGCTCATGTCACCTCTCTTTTTGAGGAACTATTTTACTCCGCGATATAGCTGGTTGTGGTATGGCTGTCAGTGTAAACATGAAGTCACACGCACTAAATAAAATTGTGTTTAGATCTTGGCCTACATCCTCTGAGGTAAGAAATTTTGATAATTTTTTTTATAAGAATTGACTTTCACTTCGTGTGAGTTCATTGGAGTATGAACCTTCATAGAGTGAGGGCCAAACATTTGATAATAAATAAAACGTCAACACCAGAGAATACTAATTCTCGATTATATGCCGAAACGGATTCCACTGGGCGTAAAAGGCAAAATAGTTCAATGAAAAAAAGGTTTTCACGAATGAGTAAGTATGTTCGACCCTACCGGTAGCACCCGCCACTCATTTAATTGGCATAAAAAAGTATGAACTTTATCGTCAGTGAATTCTTAATATATATCTAACTTAATTTGATTATTATTGACAACAGTTTCCTTTCTCGCAGCAATTTGTCATCGAAATTTATAATGTCATCCATTTTTTAATAACATCCATTTTTGATGAGGTCATTGCATTTCAGAATGACGTCATTTCTTTCTCACAGCGTTTCTTGTTGAAAGGGTGATGCAGAAACGACCTATAGCCTTTGTTTTTTTAAAATGGCGATTTAACATTATGAGTTTTTAACTGTTCGGATGTTTGTGAGTACACGGTGTTCTTCATATTAGAGACGTTGCATTTTGTCACTGATGCACATGCTTTTGAAGTGTGTATGTAGGCGATATCAGCTAATCGTCCATTCAGTTGTAGTAAATCTAGATTGCATAGCTATCTCTGTTGCTTCTGAAGAGAAAAAGTATTATGATTTCGATGTCTTACTTATTTACCTTTTTAAGATAGCTACGCGATAAAACACAAAGAACGATGACGAACGAGGCGTGGTTTATTTCGTGATATTTAGCATTGTTCTCATCTCGATATCTTACTTATTTAGCTGTATATTTGGAATATTGCTGAGTGCAGCGTTATGCAACATTCACACATCTACCTGAGTTGTGAAAGTCTTTAATCTCTGTTACATTGGGCCTCACCCCGATATATTGTGCCTCGCCTTTAGTTCTTTTCAAAGTGCGATTAAATTTACATTTAAAAGAGCATAATACTAGAACGAATTTCAGCTAATTATGAACTGTACGTGGTGGTAATATTGACATGTTACCTGAATTTTTTAGTCTGTCAATTTGTATGTCTTCCGATTTTTTGAAGTAAGGGAGGACATCTTTGTAACTCCACCCCTCACATCCATTGGCTGCCCAGCTGTCGTAGTCATGGCGATGACCTCTGACATACTGCATATAATTCAGGTTACTGCTTCCTCCCAAGACTCTACCACGTGGCCATGCTCCCCTCTGAAATTCATCTCAAAGATATCTCCCGGAACACCAATGAAAAATATATCAAATGTTATCACGGTTTTGTCACTGGTGCGTCAAGTATGGATATATCATCCACATGTCTGCCATAACACTATTTGAAAGGGGCCTTAAATGTTGTAACCTTGAACAAACATTTCCCGAACAAGATTCGTGTGACGCTCTTTGAAATTATGCTCAATCAGCAAACCAAGAAACTCGAAAATAGGGCATGTGCAGTCACGAATGATACAAACACCAATTAAATGTACGAATACAACTGTATGTGCATGTGAATATATTGATATATTATCTAATAAAAACTGCAACTTCGACCATCACAAAAATAGGGCAACAAAGAGGTGCGTGCCATCAGAGACCTATTTGTTAACCTTGCCTTATCTATGAGCCCTGCGTGTGCATGTTGCTGAGGTTCGGTCAAATAGGCCCAGTCAAATTTGTCCATCTGGTTCAGGGTTAGCATTATAGGAGTATCCAGCGTCTTCTGGTTCCGGTCATCACCGCCAGCCTCGATCAGCAGGACGGTCACGTCACGATTCTCGGACAGACGGGACGCAAGAACAGCCCCTGCGGACCCTGCCCCAACTGTGAAATAGAATACTGTGTTAACCATACACAACAGATCACACTTAATCATTTGCTGTGGACGTCCAAACAGTAATGCAACAATTGAACTACATCATGCAATATTAACATAATATAATCCTACAGCAATTGTTCTTATAATACACTAACGATCCAAATGATGTTGTTCAATATATAGCAGTCATTTGAAGATGAAATAAACGAATATATGAATGTTACCTATGATATAGTCATAAAACGTCCTCAGTTCTGGGGAAAGAATGTCTTTGTCGTCAACAGGATAGACGGAGACACCGATGAAGATGGCGAGGATTGCAACATTGGCGACAATCAGCAGTGACGTCGTTGAAGCCTCCATGGTCCTTTATTCAGATTTTGAATATTCTGTCAAAATACGCAGTCGGTGTGCAATATGTTCTCTCTTCACTATTGGTTACATTATTTCTGCTTTTCCTGCAAGCCAAGCTATTCATAATAAGCTGCATGCCTATATGAAAACGAAAAATACTATTTATCTCTGTTTTCAGCCTTTGAAAACTGAATAATCAGCCACTTTCGGAATAGAAAGGGTTAACCCTATATTGTGCAGGAAGAGGAAACTGAATAGAAACGGATGATATCGGACTGTGATCTGGCTAAATGCAGGTCAGTTTGCTCGATGGTGTGGGTCATTACTCAAGTGTTTAGTCACCCGTTTGTCTCAGCCAGACAAACCACTGGGACTTATGGAAATGGAAAATACATGCACTGTCAACATTACTTGTTTTTACGTTTTAACGTGAGGTCTATTTACGAAAGATAGTGTTTCCAATCAAAGCATGAACTGGATTCCTTCGCTGATCTTGTTTCGTGCTGATACAAGACTGACACGTTCCTGCCACAAGCCGATGGCATTCTGGCGTAGTGACTATGCCTCGCATCATCCTTTTCTTGTTTCTTTTCTTTTTCATACAACTGGGGAATGAATATGCTGATCTAATGAAAACACTTCGAAAACAATTCACGCTCATTTTGTCCTGTTCGTATAAATATGATACACCTCAGCCATTTCTAGCAATTCCTCTATATAACACATGTTGAAATAGTTATGAAATGCTTAGCGAAAATTGAAATAAGCCCTGTGTGTTTCTTACCGTATGCAACAAACAGCGAGCTCGATGTTACACACGTCAAGCCTTCACCGAAGTAGTCGAGTTGTGGAGATAAGCCAAGGTCATAATGAACAACAAGAATAGACAAGCGCCGGTGTTAACGTGAAGCACGAATGCACTTTACACTGTGACTCAACAAATGCACCTTTTTCCTTGACCCAGATTTGAAGACATATCATAGTGTAAATAAAAGCTATAAAACCAGTTCCTGATATAAAATGTTATCGCTATAGAATATCCAGTCTCAACTATCTGATTAAACATATTCCATTGGCCTTAAAGGAGAAATAGTGGTGGAAATGATACGAATGGATCACTGAAAATCAGTGATGACACCAGGTGTTCGCGAAAAGGGTAAACATGTACTACTCTACCGGAAGTGATAAAATCTCTACAAAGAGTCCATTGTTCGATTGCGACTATATCATAAGCATGTGTTTATTAATCATTGTCTAGATCTACTGGTGATGTTACCATGTGTAACAGATAAGCGAATGTGAACGGTGTCACACATGAACATATGCTCTGGTGAATCTTAATGTTGATATTCATAATGTTTGTAGTCTTGTAGTACTATCCTTCGAATTTATAATATAATCGTACGATTTCGACAATCTCATAAGCCTAAGTTTATAAATTACTATCAACTAGTGAATAAACTCAAATAGTGAATATACTCAAAAAGTGGATATACTAAAAAAGTGGATATACTAAAATAGTGAATATACTCAAATAGTGGATATACTCAAATAGTGGGTATACTCAAATATTGGATATACTCTCATTGCTTTTGAAAGGGTCATGTTTTACTTAGTTCTTCTTAATATTCTCCCACTAGCTTTAAATATAAATTTGTTATGAAACGACACCATCGACATGTTTTTTATGACACACGTATAACGAACCGACGTGGAATTTTAACACACTCAATTAAACGCCTGGCGTCCAATGGGGACTATGGAGCGGAATAACCCCAACACGTCATTGTCAGAGGGGACAGATTCGGGACAAGAAAGGCATAGAACATACAAGGACAGCAGCGATAACTTCAGACAAGTTGACGTATTACGAAAAGCATACATATGTATATGTGAAGGGCACTTTCCTGGCCACATGTTAATGCTACCTTTATCATGTGTCGGTCACTGTGGCACCCTATCTGAAGATTTAAAACAAGTTGGCAATTATGGCACCAATAGCGGAAAGGCAATGAAGCTGAGCTGGTTATATATTATCATATATACATCCAGTTTCAAGATCGCCTACGTGGTCTAGTGATAAAGCGTCAGGCCGGGGAGCGGAAGGTCAGGCGTTCGATTCCCGGCCGCGTCATACCAAAAGTTAAAAGATGGTACTTGTTGTTACCCTGTCTGGCGCTGGACATTAAGGGGCGAAAACAAGGACTGGTCGGCTCTGAGTCTGTATACTTTGTCTGAGTGGGGTATTCATGTTAAACTGCAGCATGGTATCTCCCAGTGTGCTAGCAGTATAAATTGGCATAAGTGCGGACTTGTACAAGCAGGCACACACACACACACACACACACACACACACACACACACACACACACACACACACACACAATATTGTGTGCAATAATAATAAATGCAATAATCTTCGACGCTTTCCTTCAGGCTTTCCTCCCACATTAAGTTGACACGCCGTGATATGAGTGGAACACATAAGCGCCGCGTCACATAAGCGCCGCGCTTTGAATTATCGGACCAACAGTCGGCCACTCGCACTACCGTGGTCCCGGCTGTGCAATCAAAATGGTTTCCTTGATCTATCAGATGAATGTATGTCAAGTCCGTACCATTTTGGAAGAGGGAAATCAGAGTGTTCGCCAAAGACATTCATGTTAACTGTACCACCCTATACTGAAGACGTGAAAATCAACAAACTCAAGTATGCATGCATGTCAGTGACAGCTTCGAACGAAGGGCAAGGTCACCACCGGAATAAGAAAAGACAACCGTGATCTACTCCCAGCGTTTTACGCTTGAGATAGGGAATGTTATTGTTCACAGTTGGGATGTTTTGGGCCACATAATCAGAAGTCAGGCACACGTCTAGGCAGTTTTCGAATGATTTATATCGGAAATGTTCATTTTTAGTGATCTAAGTCGTGCAGTCGTGAACAAGCAATTCCCGAAACAGTGCCACAAAATACGCTTCGAAGGAGCTCTGAAGGCACAACCTGATCATGCCAAGTAAATCTAGATATCTGTCCAGATAGTTTAAACTGACTTCATTTCAACACGTGCACCCTTTTACGTTTAATCAAATTGAAAATTGCGAAAGTGGTCGGGTGCGTCACGCTCATGGGGACCCTCGATCTATTGAACGGTAGTCGTACGTTGTAAATGGATATAACTCGATCATATAATGTCTGTAGAAGCTCTATGCATAACTCATCATAACTATCCGAAACATCTCTCGCTCTCATTAGCTCCAGTTCTGCCTTTGTTTTTTCAAAATGAATTTTGTATGAATGAACAAAGTAGTCCCGGTTTGACAGAGATCACGGTTATCCAATCAAAACACGTGTGACGTATGGATTTAGTATCTTACCACCTGTACCACCTGTATCCTCACCCTCAGGTACAATATAGTAATAATTAAATGAGTGGATTAAGATTGAACACAGTTTTAAGTGGCTAGCGCTCTCAACTCGTGCCACGTACGAGTCTCATCAGGCCATAACTGAATAACGGACATGAAGTTGTCACAGTTGAAGCTGGCGTTTATGTAGACATGTCAAAGTTCAAGGCCATCTGCAGTGAATATCGTGACTGTGTGCACGCCCGAGCTGCCCGACCTGCTGCACATGGAAGCAGTGATCGTGCGAATCAGACTGTGGAGAATGGTGGCCCACTCGGCCTACCGTTGTGAGTCGTGATGTGTGTGCTCTGGCGATATGTCAGAGCCAGGTACGTCAGGGTCTGCGGCTGTGGTGGACCTTGTTTCGTCCATCTATCACATGATGGTTAAATCTGGTGTTCGAGCGGAACCTGAATGTTGTTACTTTGAAAGGCATGTTAATGTGACGCACATATGACAGGAGTATATATACTTACTCCTTCATCGGGTGAATGTAACTCCTACCTACCTACCTACCTACCTACCTACCTACCTACCTACCTACCTACCTACCTACCCTTTCCATAACTGTAACACATTTCAAGTACTGTGTGGGTTAATAAAAAAGAGTCCGACGCTGGCGGCGGTTAAATTACCTGATCACTTAAACGTGGTTGTAATATTTATCTGAATGGTGAAGTCTTTCAATTTGTATGCCGTCCGACTTTTGCAAATGTCTTTATAGCCCTTCACACTCACCGGCTGCCAAGCTATCGAAGTCATGGCGATGCACACACACACACACACACACACACACACACACACACACACACACACACACACACACACACACACACACACACACACACACACACACACGCACGCACGCACGCACACACACACACACACAATCACACACACAATCACACACACAATCACACACACAATCACACACACACACTCTCTCTCTCTCTCAACTACAAACCGAACATCACATTACAATAGCATTATCAATATAAAGTCATTCCAAACGGACGCCAACATACGCTGAACTTGTGCTCTAATGGCAGATGAAATAATGTACAGTAAGGCAGACTTATTGAAACTGAAGCTACCATTCAGAGACTACGAATGAATTCTGTACATGTACATTATGCTACCTAAAATGAAGATATAGGTCGTGTTCAGTTCGGGAGATAGAATTCCCTTTTAATTAGTTGGAAATACATTGACGACAAGGAGCAGTGTCGTCATGGAGAGGCCCATGGTCTTTCATTCTGAAAGACAGAAATATATCTTTGTCTGAGATCAATCATCCCAATAGACAGACGGTGTAAATCATACACTGTATGTACCGTTTACGTCACAGTGAAAATACATCAATAGAATTGGTTAAATGTTCACATTATTTCCACTTTGCTTGTAATCTGAGCAGATCAACATCACTACTTAATCAAAGCTAAAAAGAGTGTTTTATTGACGTTTGAGATGACTTGATCAATAATCCTCCCACGATTGGTCAAACATTCGTTTGTACCTCGTAGCATGGCCCGGATCAGTCTTCCAGTGATAATAGCAGGGAGTCGTTTCTCCCCTTTCAGTGTTTGGTCCAGTTCGGAAAACGTGGCGGCTGGCCTTTGACATTGGCGTACAGGTCTCCCCATCTGACGGGCGGATGTCAGCACGGTGGGCGTGGGCGTTATCGTTAAGGACCTGCATTGCGCGCAAACATTGGTGTCAGTATGTTCTCGGGAGTATTTTCCGGTCATCCTTACATGGACAATATGCAGTTAAAGGGGCGTTCTGACTGTATAAGTAGCAGAAGTGTCCTGTTTCCAGGAATACGTCACTACCATACATACATACATACATACATACATACATACATACATACATTGAGGGGCTAAATAAGGACTGGCCGGCTCGGAGTCAGTATACTGTACATGTGTGTGAGTAGGGTATTCATGATAAACTGCGATATGGTATCTCAGTGGGCTAGCATTATAAAATCGGGTTTAGTTGAGACTAGCACGTACGCACGCGCACACCCACCCACCCACCCACCCACACACACACACACACACACACGTGCATGCATGCATTTAAACTCCATTTCACTTCACCTTTAACTAAAGATATACCGTATTCGACGTAATAAGCGCCCAAAGGCGCTCTAAAAATTAGAAATAGGGGGCTCTTATTAGAATATCATTTTGGTGAAAAAAACAGTTGAAAGAGAAATTTCGTGATTTATGCGGACAGTCTGAAATGTTTATTTACGACAGATATATTTTTCCAGAATTTAATTGTCCATAATTAAGGGTGCATATAACACACGAGTGCGTATTATAGCCAAATAAATAAGTCTTGTGTACATTGATCATTCGGAAGGGGTGCTCATTGGAATTGTTCACTAGCCAATACATTTGCAAATATCGCCGTTAGAGCGGGGCGCTTATTACGTCGAATACGGTAATAAAAACCACTATGTGCAAAGCGAAGGAAAGAATAAACGTTCAGCAATATTTATGTTTGGTACTCCCCATAGGTCACCAG